TGCTGCTAATTTTGTCAAAGAAGATGAAACAATTGATCGGCCACATGTTTTGTTGGCGACAGCAGTCGTCAGAGCATATTCACGTAGTGGTCAATCGAACCTACTTCGTGCATTAATTGACCAGGGATCTCAAGGATCTTTTATTTCAGAAGAAATCGTCCAGTTATTAGGTCTTAAGCGTGTGCCAGTAAGTGGTTGCGTGTCAGGTTTGGGAGATGGTCAATTAAAAATCAAATACATGGTGTCTCTCTGTATAGAATCAAAGAGGAATTCAAATGATTCAATTCAGGTTACTGCGTACGTATTAAAATCACTTGTCTCACGAATTCCTTCTACTAAAATTCCATCACCTAATTGGTTAGAACTTGAGAACCTTTCACTAGCCGATTCAGGATTTGCATCACCAGGCAAAATAGATCTTTTGCTTGGAGCTGAAGTTTACTGTCAGATATTGTTAGGTGATATGCGTAAACACCCACAAGGAAATTTACTAGCTCAAAATACAATTTTTGGGTGGGTTATTTCAGGTAGAGTATCACCATCAGCTTTAGCAACGAGACCGTTAGTAAGTTTACATGTTCAAATCAAAGAAGATAATTTACTCAAAAAATTTTGGGAGTTAGAAAATGAACCGAATACAATTAAAAGGAAATTATCCAAAACAGAACAAATATGTGAAGAATTTTATGAAGCTTCAACATTCAGGAACAAAGAAGGAAGATTTGTGGTAAAGCTACCTTTTAATAGTCAAGACCCAGAATGTCAATATGGAAGACTGAAAGATATTGCACAAAGAAGATTTCAGCTGCTCGAAAAAAAGTTTCAAAAAATTCCAAATTTTAAAGAAGAATACTGCAAAGTGATTCAAGAATATTTGGATTTAAATCATATGGTGAAAATCGAAGATGATGCGGTCGATTCAAAGGCAGTCTACCTTCCTCACCATGCTGTAGTAAGGGAAGATAGGGAAACGACTAAATTACGTGTTGTATTTGACGCATCTTGCAAAGGCGTTAACGGTGTATCGCTGAATGACAATCTTCTTGTTGGTCCTAGACTACAAGAGGATTTGAGGCACATTTTAATGCGATGGCGCAAATTTCCAATATGTATTGTAGCAGATGTCGTAAAGATGTATCGACAAGTGCGAGTAAATCAAGAAGACACACGTTTTCAGAGGATAATTTGGAGAGCGAACCCTGAGGAACCCTTTGGTCATTATGAGTTACTCACACTTACTTTTGGCACTGCCTGTGCACCTCATTTGGCCGTGAAATCACTGCAACAGTTAGCGGATGAAGAAAAATACAATTACCCTATTGCAGCAGAAATTGCAAAGCGTGATTATTTTGTTGACGACCTTATGACTTGCTGTCTCACGGAGGAAGAGGCTATTGAAATCTACAATCAAATGAATAATATGCTAAAATCCGGTGGGTTTCAGTTGCAAAAGTGGAGTAGTAATAGTAAAAAATTACTACAATTTATTGATCAAAATAATCAAAATGATTCTCATTCAATAAACATTAGGACAGATAATATGGTCAAAGTTCTCGGTATTTGTTGGAATAGAAATACCGATGAGTTTCAATACACAGTGGATTTACCTGCGTTAAGCCAGACACCTACGAAGCGAAAAGTGTTATCAGATGTAGCTAGACTTTATGATCCTATGGGCTGGATTGCGCCAGTTGTGGTCTTGGCCAAAGTACTTATCCAGAGATTGTGGAAGTTAGGGTTGCCGTGGGATGATGAATTGCCACAAGAAGGTTTTGAATGACTGGCTTAAATACAGATCAGATTTAATGCAAGTGAAAAATATCTTAATTCCAAGATGGATTCATTTTATTAATGATTGTGAAATCGAACTGCATGCATTTGCGGACGCTTCCCAATTAGCTTATGCAGCAGTAGTTTACTCAAGAGTGATAAATAAAAATGGTGACGTTTACATAAACCTTATAACTGCAAAAACTAAAGTTGCGCCAATAGAGAAGGAACTTTCGATTCCCAGATTAGAACTTTGTGGCGTAGTTTTGGCAACAAAATTATTGTATGAAGTTTCGCAAGTTATGAAAGTGCCAAAAGAAAGACTTTTTGCATGGTCAGACTCAACTGTTGTGTTGGCGTGGTTACGTGGATTGCCATCACGATGGACCACCTTTGTTAGCAATCGTGTATCTGATATTCTAAATATTTTAGATAGCGATCAAATCAGACATGTAAGCACAAAAATGAATCCCGCTGACTGTGCTTCTCGAGGTTTACAACCGTCAGCCTTAAAGAAAGAAAACCTTTGGTGGAAAGGGCCTGCATGGCTTCATCAACATACTTTTGATTTACCCACATTACAGTACAATACCGAAGAAGAAATGAGGACAAGCAAATCGTCGGGAATCATGACTTTTTTTACGGAAAAGAAAAGTGACATAAACAAACGGATATTAGAAAAGGAAAAGGAATTTATATGGAGCAAATATTCATCACTGAGAAAGATGTTAGGAATTGTGTCATATGTTAGAAGATGGTTAAATGTAAAAACAAAAGTTTCATCAGATAAAGAAAAGTATCCAAATTTTATTACTGTGAAGGAAATAAATGAATCTTTGGAAGTATGTATTAAACAAGTTCAAGATTTGAATTTTAGAGAAGAAATTAAACAACTAAAATTATACGGAAGTGTAACTAAGAAATGTGCACTGTATTCTCTCTATCCCTTTTTAGATGCAAAAGGGCTTCTGAGAGTGGGTGGCCGCATCGAAATGGCAAATATAAGTTACGATGAAAAACATCCGTTAATAATGCCTGAAATAAGTCATCTTACCCAAAGCGTTATTGATGACGCACATAAATCGACAATGCACGGCGGCCCTCAAGCTATGCTTGTTTACCTAAGAAACCGATTTTGGATAATACGCGCTAGACAGCAAGTTAAAAAATACTTTCGACGTTGTGTCACATGCATCAGATATTCTCAAAGAAAGAATACTCCTTTGATGGGTCAATTACCCGAGGTGCGTTTGCATCCAAGTAAAGTTTTCAAATCATCTGGTGTTGATTATGCAGGACCAATCAACATTAAATTTTCTCCAGGAAGGGGAGCAAAATCCTACAAGGGCTACATATGCCTATTTATTTGTATGGTGACTCGAGCCATCCATATTGAAGCCGTATCCGATTTAACTTCAAAAGGATTTATTGCCGCATTTCGAAGATTTGTTGGACGTCGAGGTCGTTGTTTGGATCTTTACTGCGACAACGGTACTAACTTCGTTGGCGCAGAAAGAGAATTAAGAGAAATATTTGATACAGCGAAATCTCGAATGCCTCAAGAGATAGCGGAACTGTTAGTTCAGGAAGGGACGACGTTTCATTATATACCACCTCACAGTCCCAATTTCGGTGGGTTGTGGGAAGCCGGAATACGTTCAACCAAAACTTATTTAAGAAAGGTAATAGGTGATAATACATTGACTTACGAAGAGCTATCTACTGTATTAATCCAAGTTGAATCATGCCTTAATTCGCGTCCGTTAAGTCAATTAAGTGATAATTCTATAGACCCTCTCCCGTTAACACCTGGCCACTTCCTGGTAGGTGAACCACTTATTAACATATGTGATGACTTTAACTGTAACGAAACCAAAAATGTAACTACATTAGATAGATGGCGACTAGTTCAAAAAATGACAAATGATTTTTGGTCGCGTTGGTCTAAAGACTATTTATTAAACTTAGATAAAAGATATAAATGGAGTATAAAAAAATCTGAAGTAGATATTGATGATGTTGTTGTAATACGTGAGGAGAATTTGCCTCCTACTAAATGGATTCTTGGTAGAATTGTACAAAAACATACTGGCAAAGATAATGTCACACGAGTAGTCACTATAAAATGTAAAGATAAATTGTTAAAGCGCCCTGTAAGTAAGCTTTGTCTTTTGCCTAAATAAGATGTGTTGTTCCAAGTTTATTTACATTTTTTATCTCTCTACTAAAAGTGACTGTTTTTATTTTTTCATTTTTTCATGTTTTATTGTTTCGAATTTAAAAGTTTTATTTTTAACTCCACATTTTGTCACGGTGGGCGGAATCTGTTGAACTATACTTATTTTTAATGTTAGAATAGTGTGTAGCATTTTATAAAAACTCGTAATTACTAATATTTTTTGAATGAAATATTGTTTAAACTGAAGGACAAGTCCTTGGTGGGCGGAATGTTCAAATTCATTATTTTCTTATATAGATGTAAGATTTCCCACGTCCATCAATAGATGACGTTGTGCGATTTGGCATCGCGGTAGTAACTTTATTTCTATTATTTTATATAATTGTTAGCCTTATGAAATACTGATGGTCGCGTTTTTGAACCACGGCGGTGGTAATACAAAGTAGTTCCTAGTATGTGTGTTTTATTGTTTACTAGCGCCCCTATAGTGAAGTTTTTGTGTTATACAAATTAGATAATCAGAATAATATCGTTACCAATCAGATCAGAAGCTAAAAGAATATGAAGAGAAAGCTAAAGCTAAAATTAAGTACTAGTGTGGAAATAGACTACAATGACAAAAACAAGAGACGCATAACTCCAAAATTTTCAGATAAGTCTTCAGATAAATTCGCAGATTACGGCGCAGAAAAATTAAAAAGAGACACACTAAGGGCGCTTGTGCACTACACTGAATTTTCAGGTCCGGCGGTCCGATTTTTTCCGGTCCGGAATGACATGAAAAACTCGGATGAGTAGCTTGTGCACTTGTCCGTTTTTTTCCTGATCGGAGCGACGCAGTGTAGGGCAGCTCTCTTTGAAGCTACACGTCACTTACGCTAGGTACGATGAGATTTTTGGAACGTTGGTAATTCCGTTCGAAGACGTAGAAAGGTACCTAAATAATGATCTGATCGTTTTACATAAACCATAATAAATTATGGCAAGACGAAAGCATTTTCTTTACTACTATCGGATGACTACTATCAGATGTAAAAACTTATACCCTTACTAATTTAGGAACAGCATTATTCTCATAACACTCAAGCAACAACGTGGCGCGCGAAGAAAGAGACGACTACAGTGAGCACAATAGTTCTCTAAGCTTCGTAGTACACATGACGACATTGGCTGCGTCATAGAATAATAATCTGCGTATGCGTTACGTTATGATCGCTTGCCACAAACCATAAGCTGAAGAGATAGCGGTTAAAATTATAAAGGCTTGGTCCAAGTAACAAAGTAAGGGTAAGCGATTTTAATTTTAATATTACCACTTCAATATTTCGTCCATAATATAAATATGACACATAACAAGTCATTGTCGGAATCAAATTTATTCGAGCAAAATGAACACACGCCGCCCAATTTTCTCTACCAACGAAATAAAAGACCGAGAGAACATGATTGTGAATCTGAATTAAAAGAGTTTAAGGAGGAAATGAAAGCAATGATATCAAGTCTAATGGCAACCCAACGTGATGACATCAAAAAGATTTACCCTACATTACTCGAAATTAAAAATACAAACGATGAAATCAAGAGTTCTGTGACATATCTTACAGCACAAAACAAAGAACTGGAAAAAGAGATAGAACAGCTGGAGATTCAAAATAGAAAAGACAAAAGCTATATATGTTTATTGGAAAACAGGGTGGAAAATCTGCAAAGGGAAAGTTTAAGATCACACATAGAAATAAAAAATGTCCCGAAAATTACTAGGGAAAGTAGAGAAGATTTGCTAAATATGATCACAAAGTTATCTAACACAATCAAGTATGACATCAAGGAAAAAGATATAAAGGACATATACAGAGTACGGGATCAAAAAGACAACACAAGAACTGTTAGTACATTGGTGGTTGAATTGGCATCTACTATGCAAAAGACTGATTTACTCAAATTAATAAAAACCTACAATATTAAAAATAAAGAAAAATTATGCGGGAAACATCTGGAGTTAATACAATATGAGAAAACGCCGATTTATGTATCTGAAAAACTAACAGCGCTGGGAGCGCGCCTCTACTTCCTTGCTCGAGATCTCACAAAATCTAAGGCGTACAAGTTCTGCTGGACAAGCTTCGGAAAGGTCTATGTAAGAAAGGATGAGGCCTCACCGATCATTCTAATCAAAAATGAATCTCAAGTAAACAGCCTCATGCAGCAGATATGACTAGACGTAAGATACCAAACTGATACTTATCTCGAACTATCAACATATTCTGATAGCTTAATAATTAATATTATAATAAGTATTGTTTTTTTCGAATACTTCTATAAATTTAAAATAAGTAACAAAATTGTTAAAAATAGAAATATTGTAAAGTGCATTTACACCCAGACTACATACATGAACACAATCATAACCAGGTTTTTCGTCGTGCTCTTTCACTATTCTATATACACACTCACATCTCTTGTATACACACTACATACACACAAAAGGTATAAAGTTAAAAACACGCATATTAATAATTTAGATATGACATTAAGATCTTCATATATCAATAATGATGGATAAAAATTGCTTACAGACTTTCAACGAAATAGACAAGGTAGAAATTTGTACAGTGTATAGTTGCGATGCTAACAATCTCTCAAAAGTAATACAGTTTCAAAATTCTGATTTGACAGTAATATCACAAAATATCAGGAGTGTTTATCGTAATATTGATGACTTAAAGCTAAATATAACAGCACTAAAAGTAAATATTGACGTTATCATACTTAGCGAATGTAGATTAAATCCTGATAAAAACATACCACAAATAAACAGTTACACATCCTTTCAAACTAATTTACATCTAAACAAAGCTGACGGAGTTGTTTCTTATATTAAAAATAAATATATGTCTAAAGTCAAAGAAATAAACTTAAAGCACGCGTCATGTCTACAAATCAGATTGTCAGCAGATGTTATCATACTAGGTATATATCGATCACCGTCGAAAACAAATGCAGATGACTTCATTTATTCATTAGATCATCATTTAGATACTATTAAATCATGTAAAAATATAATAATCGCAGGTGACATAAATATAAATCTGATATGTAGACATGATGAAAAGCCACACGAACGCTCTAATAGAATAAATTATTTAAATATGTTAGTATTACATGGGATCCTAACAGGACACACGTTACCTACAAGAGGAAGTAGCTGTCTTGATCATTTTATGGTAAAATTGCACACAGAAAATAAAACAGCGACGATTGCTATCTTGAACACTACTATCACAGATCACTATATGACATATATAAAATTAGCTAATACTAATAATGTCAAAAATACCAGTAAAACGAAAATATCATTTAACTTTGATGCAGCTATACAACACCTAAAACATAATAACATAATGAAACTATTGGAGATAACTAATCCTAACGTACTTACACATACCTTAGTAAATGAACTGCAGCACTCCATAAAATTTAACACTAAGATTAATATGGTACCCAGTAAGAATAGACTGATTAAACCTTGGATGACTATAGGTTTATTACGATGTATACAAAATAGAAATAATATGCAAAAAAAATTAAAACAAGATCCTTTTAATAACATACTTAAAATCACATATAAAAGATACCGCAATTTTTGCAATAATAAAATAAGAAATCAAAAACGCATATATGAACAAGAACAACTACACAGGGCACATAAAAATCCGAAAAAGCTTTGGGGTATAATAAATACCATTACTCAACGTAAACAACCTAAACAATCGAACATGGATCTACTACAAATAGGAACTGATCCTCAGGAATCAATAAATTTTGTCAATAAATACTTTTCAAATGTAGGTAAGACTCTTGCTGATGAAATTCTATCCGATCGAGAAGCAACAATCCCTCACAACAAATGTGTCCGTAAATCTACTCCAGTTTCTACGTTTGCAATTATTGATACCGATCACAATGAAGTTTATACTTTGTTAATGGGTTTAAAATCGGATAGCGCGCCGGGCTGGGATCAAATTCCTAGTAACTTTTTAAAAGCTGCACACGAAGTAATCGTTCCAATTATAACTCATCTGGCGAACCTATGTTTTCAGCAAGGAGTTTTCCCTCAAGTTTTAAAGCTAGCTATTATTACACCTGTCTATAAGGGAGGAGATAAATGTGACATGTCAAATGTCCTTTCTGCTATATCAAAAATTTTAGAGAAATTAATAAATTCTCGACTTCTAAATTACCTTAATAAATTTAATTTGCTGTCAATGAACCAATTTGGTTTTAGACAAGGGATAGCTACAGAAGATGCAGTACTTGCTCTTACTTCTGTCGTTATTGAAAAAGTTGACAAAGGAGACAAATGTATGGCTATTTTCCTGGACCTTAAAAAAGCTTTCGATACGGTTTCAGTCACTATACTTCTGCAGAAGCTGGAGGAAATTGGAATAAGAGGATCACCACTGAAGTTGTTCAAGGATTATCTACAGGGCCGTACACAAATGGTTAAAATAGGAAAGGCTCACAGCTCGGAAGTGTTCTTGTGTTCACACACACACACACACACACACACACACACACACACACACACACACACACACACACACACACACACACACACACACATTCTTTTATTTGATTATTTTGTTAATCTTCTGTTTATTCTTCATTTTTACTTCTGTTGTCAAATATTTATCTATACTTATCAATTGTCTAAAAAAAATTTGATAATGACAAATTTCCAGGCAAACTTTCATCCCCTATTTTTCGCGATAAAATGTAGCCTATGTCCTTTCTTAAAGTTAAGTCTATTTACTATATTAATTTCCATTTAGATGGGTTCAGTTGTCTAAACGTAACAACACTTATTTATCTTACTTAAACTATCGATACTTTTAATACGATTCTAAAATCTAGCTAAGTATCGATACTAGAACCATATGCTGATCAAATTAGAACTATACCGAGTTTGCCAAAGCATTTGCAGTGATATATACCAACTATATTAAATCATCATATAAAATATAGCATTTTATAATCAACAATAAATATCGATTATAAGTTTATTGGAATTTAACAATATTGCCGAAATAAATATCGATTCAAATCGATTATTTTTTCCCAAGCCTATTCCTTATGAATTTTCCGGATCTCGGACATAGCAGTGCACAAGCGTAAACACGTTTTTCATTGCCGCCATCACGGACCTGAAAAAACCAGTCCGGAATAGAGAAAAGTAAAATTCCGGACGGTAAAATTCCTGACAGTGCACAAGCGCGCATTACCTACATATGGCCTGACATATCGGACCTGAAAAAATCGGACCGTCGGACATGAAAATTCAGTGTAGTGCACAAGCGCCCTTCATGTTGCGTTGGATAAGCTGATTATGGATTTAAATAAAAGAAGTCTAGTCTATGAGACATATAGCAAGAAATTTAAATTTTTAATAGATTTGCAAGATAAAAATATGGAAAACGTAGATCAGGAAAGTGTACGTAATATTATTGATTATTATCCAGATGACGTAGACGAGCATTTAGTAAATGTGTGCGTTCAGTTAAAATCTTACTTACTTCAGTGTAAACCAGAGTCTTACACTTTTTGCGATGAAATTTTTATGATAATTTATGAAAAGAAACTTTTTGATGTTATCCCAAATTGCTATACCATATTAAAGATTTTTTTAACTTTGCCAATCACTAGCTGTGAAGCGGAGCGTTCTTTCTCTTGGAGGATGACTTATATAGAAAATAAATATAGGACAACAATGTCGAACCATCGACTTACTCATCTATCAGATCTTTCCATAAATAGTGACTTAACGAAGGACTTACAATGTGATGAGCAAATTGAGGAATTTGCAGCACAAAAATGCAGAAGGTTGCTTTATAATCTATTATATTAACCTGTCAATTTCTTTTGCAATAATTTTGTAAAGTCATACATAACATAATATATAAATAAAATTATTTTATTGTCCTATTTTCTCTTTCAACATCATTATAGAAAATAGATTTTAACAGTTTTCCTGATTTTTAGTGGTATCGATTTTTTTGTTGAACATACAAATTCCTCCATACCGATTTCGAATGGATGAAAATATGCCATTTTTTGTATTGTCAATGGTATAAACATGTCGTCTAAATAATTTGGTAAAAGGCATATTTTGTTTTATTATTTCGATAAAATTTATATAGAACCACATATATATTAATAATATACCAAAAAACGAAGCTAACCGCGAACCAACATTAAAAAGTATGTATACGGTCGAATTGAGAAACCTCTTACTTTTTTAAAGTCGGTTAAAAATGGCTATTAGTTTAGTACATATTTAGGTAGGCCCACAAATAGTTTTAGCCCAGGGCCCCACAAATTCACGATCCGCCCCTATCTATTTATGTAAATCTAGTTTTATCAGTAATATGTTATATAGCTCGGTGGCGTAGTGGATAAGCGCCGCGGCCCGCGATCGGTGTCATTAAGCAACTTTCGCAAGGGTCGGTCACGGGATGTGTGACTAAAAAATTATTATCTCGAGCATTGGGCTAGCGTGGAGCGTCATGGCTCATCCTCCTTAACCATCCATAAGGAAGGCCTGAGCCCCTGCAGTGGGGACGTAAAAGGGCTGATGATGAATGAATGATGATGTGATATATGCAATTGTTATTAAATTATTTATGTATGAATAGTTTTTATCTAATATAATTAAATATTTATGAATAAATATCTACTAAATTATTTTAGTTTGCACCCCCGTTTCCTGATTTAGTTCTCTCCATCCAAAGGTTGTCTGGTAGAGATCGCTCTAAGCGATAAGATCGCCAATTGTTACACGGTAATTGTAAAGGACATCGAGCAGGAAGAACAAGGTAGCAACATCAACCCTAACGACAGAATCGACGATTGGCTGCGACAAGCCGCCGAGCCCTCCTCCGAGCAACTAGGAAAGACTGCCACTCCGGGACGCACGGTGCCCCCCCACGACGAGAGCACCATCCCTGTGTGCACGCCGCACACCCCGAGGCTGGAACGGGGGGAGCGACAGGGCCACGCAGCTGTTCATTTCGCACGACGAGTACGGTCACCGACGCCGTCACGCCACCGAAGAGGCATCGAACAACTAGTCGTTGCGCACGTCCAGCGCCACGTCAAGTTACGGAGCTGCCCATTTTCACAGGCTCTTTGAACGAATAGCTGCCGTTCAAAGCCGCCATGAGGGAGTCGTCTGCCGCCTACGACTTCACACCGACTGAAAATATGGCCCGCCTTCGAAGCTGTTTACGAGGGGAAGTGCGAGAAACCGTCACAGGTTTACTCAGCACCGCCGCCCACCCGGATCAAGTTATGCACGCCCTGGATCAGAGCTTCGGACGCCCAGAGTTCATCGTGGACAAGACTTTGGAAGATATAAAGCGTTTGCCGCGCCTAGGGAGCACCGCAAATGAGGTCAACGCCTTCGCCGTGAAACTCCAGAACATCGTCTGCGTGCTTCAAAATTTGGATCGACGAGGCTACCTACACTTCCCAATGTTGGCAAGGGAGGTCTTAGAGAAGCTCAGCCCGCTCCTGCGAACCCGGTGGTGCGATTATGCGAGGCAACATGAAGATCAACGCAAGCCCAAGATCGTCATGCTGTCAAGGTTCCTGACGGAGGAAGCGGACCTCGTGCTGCGATACACATACGCCGTGCACCCTACGCCGTGCACGACGACTACAGCGAGGACCACCAAGCTACCTCCACGGCCCAAGCCGCACCAGTGAAAAGGAAAACGAGAGAAAACGTCTACGCTACTACCGCTGCGACGCCTACATCGCCATCGCCGCGGCCACCCGCAAAGTACGAGTACATCGTCTGTGAAGGGGATCACACACTACCGAAATGCAAGAGGTTCGGCGAAATAGACAACGAAGCGAGATGGGAGATCGTCAAAGCAGCGGCGATCTGCTTCAAGTGTCTCGAGAATAGTCATCCTCGACGACACTGTCGAGCGCGAGCGTGCGGCGCTAACGGATGCCGCCGACCGCACCATCGCCTACTTCACTTCGAACCCTATGGCGCGACGAGTGAAGAATCGAAGCCGAAGCCGAAACCAACCGCTACCGACGAGTCCGTTATGTCGGTAGACACCGCCGCTAATGGCGCTTTTTTTATTTTGCCAAGTGGGTGGTGTGGAACAGGCGTTTACAAAGATTAAATGACGTTCGCAAAGGCCAGCAATGGGAAGGATGACCAATTTCTTTTATTTGACTAAACAGGGCGGGTGGGACAGGTGCTGCAGGGTGTGGCCGGGTTTTGCTCTAATGTCTTCTCTTGTCGTATGCACCACGCACACTGGCTAAGTAACGTGTAAAATAATTTGGTCACTCATCCGACCACCGTCGCTCAACCTACACAATCGCAGATCAAACGCGTTCACTAAATTGAAGGTGCTAAATCACAGATATTCTTAATAGATGAAACCATTCCAAACAGCATTCAAAACGGGGCCCGCTTTAAAATTCAGATTAGGATTGGTGATGCTAAATTACAGATATTATTAATGGATGAAATTAATTCTATCCAGCATTCCTAACTGGGCCCGTGTGGTGGTCTCAATGCGTATCGGTGGTGCTAAAGCGCATATTCTAATCGATGATTCAAACCAATCCAATATTACGCACTGGGTCCGCGTAAATGAGTAAAGAAACTTAGGCTACTTTCCATGCGGATGTAGTCGCGAACGCAGCTAGTTTAATATATCGCCACGCCCTATCATTAATGTAGTATCTACAAATATGCAACATTACAGGAGAGCGGTTTAAAGATGAAAAGTTGAATAACAACGATATTTTAAGGGTTAGGATTACGAAATTAGGCATGGGGTGTGTATTTTGCACGGACATATTTTACTATCTTACGCAGGATGTGGTAGATCCACTTTTTTTGTTGTATTAAATTCTGTACAATAAGTCGGATATGGTAGGTATGAAGTTTTTGATCGGAAAACTAAGTATATTTTGTTAATTTTCCTAGAAACGTTGTTTCTTATACCAAAACAATGGAAATAATTTGCTATACAAAATTATAAATATGAAATCTATTTTATTAATAAAATATATGTGGCAAGTCTTAAAATAAAGTTAATAACTTTGTAATATTACCTGTATCATTACATGCACCATTTTCAACAACTGCGTTGTTTGGTAAAATAAGGCTTAAAATCCTTGAGGATCTGCTTCTTTGCGGTCGACCGACATTATATCTTTTGAAATCAGAGTGTATGTAATGTTTCACAACAATTTGGCGCTCCAAAGAACCTACGTGCATTTTTCCCGACATTAACTATGTAACTGGCAGATCGACGCAAGATTGACACATCCACTCGTCAGTTATGTCCGATCAAAATTGACTGTAAGTGAGTACCTTCATTTTTGTACGTACCTACACAAGCGACACTACCGACATTAATAAGGTAATTATCTTCATAATTATAATAAAATCAACAATTATTTTTTTGTGATACTATTCCTTACGCCCTTTTATGAGATTTTATACAAAAAAAAAACAAAAATCGTTAAAATGCAGATCCCACATTAATGATAGGGCGTGGCGATATGCTATTTACTACTTTTCAGTGCCAAGAAAAAATAAGATTTCCGATGGATGAAGAAAATATTTCAAAATCGTCGACGGAGAATATAGCACGAATGTTTTTTGTTGAATATTTATATTATCATAAATTAAACGTCACTTAAATAGGATTTCGTATTAGTTTATAGCAATTTGATAAAAACGCCGAATTTTTGGCTTATGAAAGTCAGTTGAAATATATCACGTCAGCTGTTATAAAACGGATATGATATGAAGGTACTTATTGAAATATTATTTTGCTCTAAGTGACCTGTGTGCTGGCTATATATAATTTCTCTTACATAAGTACCTTCTTCGATTCATGGTACTCTAAAAAACACGACAGCCAACAACGAACCAAAAAAAAGAAACAAGTTGTATTATAGCTTGGTTTAACAAATTCTCAAAGATTACAATATTTTCTTAGATTACAAATGTTCTACAGAACAGTACACCAACTGCAATGAGAATTTTATTTAACCTATGATTTGGCTTAACTTGTTTTTTTATTCGTAGTTTGATCCTAGCAATCGTATTTTTTTAATTATTATTTATATTTTATTCCTTTTATGTAGTTTGTGGTCACTGGAAAAGATTTAACGTTTTTAATGATATTCTTAACACATTAAGACTCCTTTTTTATTGGGCAGTCGTGTTCAAATTTTCGGGAATTGATAACAAATAACACCATTGTAATACTAAAAAAATGTACAAAAATTGGGAAAAGTATCAAAATAGCTTGGTCGTAGTGTCCAACAGTATTGAACTTAAACAAGTTGTCGAGAGCTCGGGACGCTTCAAAATACCTTATCTCACAGAGTACAAATTTTTAATAGGGCTCTTAAAGATGTCTACGTATCGCTCAGCGTTGCCAGAGGTCCCGATTTAGGCAGGACGTCCCGATTTTTAAATCAAAATTAAATGTCCCGCGCGGGACAGGTTTGGTCCCGCTTCCGGGGATAACTCGACCGTGCGTGCAGCGTTCTGAGAAAGCGCAGCCGGGTGCCATGAACAAGTGTGGACTGGACACCCGCCCGGCGCATAATTATAATTAGAGGTGGAAATAACGACTTAAAATTTTTAAGCATAACACGTTGTTTGATTTTTAATTGGCGTTTTTTAAAACTGCTTTTTGTTTAAACGCAAATAATATTTGAAAACTTCTGATTATATACTATGTCCCGCATTCGACAATAGACTCCCGCTTTTTTCACTCAAAAAGTTTCAAAATCCCGACTTGGCAAAAAAAAAATCTGGCAATGCTGGTATCGCTGTTTCTTTGCGGAACTTGTTGAACTGTTTGCGGGTTATCGGTGATCGCGGATATTGTAAAGAGAGTCACTCAAACATCAACCTTAAAGATTCACATAAGAGTGAATTCAGGTTTACTTTAATATGTTGTGGAAAAGAAACAATTTTTAACTTTTTACAATTTGAAGTTGGTTCTAATTTTTGAAATGTTTTTATTTCTTTATTTTTGGACACATGGCAATATGTGGAGTAGCCCAAAGAATATCAAGTTCCGAGGCAGGAGTCAATTGAATGTTTGTACATGTTGTGTAGTATATTGATATATCACAACATCAACATTACTTCATAGTTATGGATATTAAACAACAGTAAATCTTTTTATATCTTTTCCATTGTAATAACATTTTGGGCATGCATAATCTTGATCTGCAATTTTATTGGCCTGAAATTAAAAATTACATGTATCAATAAGGATTAATACAAATTTCCAAAATAATTACCATCAGCAGTAGGAAAGTAATAACTTTCCAAAATAATTACCATCAAACAATAATAGCAGAATATATGTGAACAACCCATGGTATGAGGCAATACCGGTTTGTTTAAACAAGTTGTACAATCTGTTTGAGATAACATAACAGGTGTAGTCATTTGTCCTCTGGAATAAGTATTTGGCTTCCACCAAGCATATTTCAACATCTGCATTAATTTTCTTTTTAACCCAAACATATTGATTAACGACATTACTGTACCAATTAATTCCTGTAAGCAAATAAGGTTTTGTAAAAGAAGGAATAACAAACATATTTTTATAAACATAGTACGGATTTTAAATTCAGAAAAGATTTCACTCACAATAAAGTTGTGCCATAAAAGCTCCCGGGTCCATGAAAAATCTGTCAGATCCTCTCTCGTCAATTTTTCTGCAGTTAATTCAAGACCCAAAAAGAAATCAATCAGCATAGGATGTTTACCACTTTGTATGAATCGCAAAAAATTTAAAATATCTCCAACAACTTGGAACATTTCTATTTTGTAAAATAAATTTTGCACTCTCATATTTGATGTAAAACTGTATAAAGCCCTATCTTTAAGATATCTAAGACCTATAGTATATCCAAAATACCAATAAATTTTGCTATTTGTAAAGTTGTCTTTTTTATAATTAAGTGACAAAATATCTTGCCCAAAAGTGCTTCTCTTGCTATAAACTGAATATTTAAATATCCATGTTCTCAGAAACAGGTCTATTTCTGGCAGATATGGCTCAAAAAACCCTGGCTGAAATTAAACAAAATAAAGTAAAGAATTTATAACTCAATTTATATAATATTATTTCGTCAAGCTAATTTTACCTTTACATATTTTGTAGATTGATGCAGTAAATGTTTAAAGAGTTCTTCAATTTGCTTGTCCAATTGTACCGCATCCAGCTAAAAGTTGCGAGATTATTTATTAGACTATCAAATAGGAACAATTTTGATTAATATTGTAAATATATCGTCATTTATGTGTAAAAAAAAAATAAAGTTAAATCAGAATAAAGTAGTCTTGCTAGTTTTACCTGAGTAACACGAGGAATGTAGTTTAGTATCATTTTGTATTTAAGTAGATTACACTATATGTAGTCATAAAGTTTATTTTCCCTATATGTTCCCTATTTTATAGAGTATTTTCTGAAGTTTAAGCAAGCAAAACCAGTTAAAAAGCAAAGTGTTAATTAAGCAAAACTTGCTAAATTTAGTGATTTGTGAAGTAAACAAGTATAATAAAAATATTATTTAGACTTTACTCTTTGAAAGGTTAAAGAGCAGCAGTGGTCTCGAACGTCATAGAGAGAGATCGGTAAAGTTGCCAGCCAAAATCGGTATACTGGTACCCAAAATCGGTTTTTGAAAAAAAATACAATATTAAATCAAATTCCTTTATTTATTAAAAAAAGCTTACAGACTAATTTATAACAATCACACTTGATTATAATTATTTATTATACCAGTATTCTTTGGCCATAGCAGCTGTCATTTTCGAATGAATTTCAAAATCATAACAATTAGCTGTTTAGGAACGTTAGGAACCTTAAGGTTGAATGTGTGGTGCTACTGTGATGATGGAGACAACTGGCCAGGGAAACTAAAGGGTAATTGTCTCCCTCCGAGCTAGGTGTTGTTAGCCCGGGGACCGCGGTCCAACCGATGTAGGTTGCTTTGTTCTAAATGCCTTGTAGTTATTAATTTATGAAGTTTGTATGCAGTTCGATGCTAGTCTTCTTGCTATCGATTGCTGTGGCGATGTTAGTGCGATGAGTTAGATGTCGTTGTGTATCAGTTGCCACAGCTGTATTAAAGAGTCGTTTTGAATGTAATAGACCAGTGATTGATTCAGTAGACAGCCTATTTCGCTGTTTTGTTTTCAAAAGATTAATATGTGAAAATATGCTTTCAACGTTAGCGGATGAATGGGGAAGTGATAAAATATTAAAGATGAAATTAGACAACAAAGGAAACATTTGAGTTTCATCGCCATGCTTTAGTAAACTTACTTCATCCCAAAATAGTTCTACATCATCAGGGAATGTTTTGATTTGGTCATAATATCTTAAAATGCTCCACTCTGTATCAATTTCTTGGAAATCGTTGCTGTGAAAAATATTGGGAAAGAGCCTACTCACAGGAACTATCGAAGCAGTTTTGCTAATTTTAACATTTTTTTAATCAATGATGTCTTAACCTTTTATTGGATTATTTTTCAATGGAAACCGCGTGGTTATTCACTTACAAGCTTCGATATAAAAATCTGGGCATCTGCATTTAAACCAATTTACTTGATCTAAGTTTAAATTTTCTAAACTACTTAGTAGTGTATAAGACACAGCAGCACCATAGTATACGGCGTCAATATCTATAAAATTTCTGGGATTCTTGAAATCAACATTTTCGATTGGAGTGCTAGTTAAATATTCTCTTTTTAAAAACAATCAAAAATAGTTTTTAATGTTATAGTACGATGAATGCCAGTTCAATTAAACAAGTACTCTTCATTTTAACCGTGCGTTTAATTATCGTCGTAGGATTTTAATATTACAATATATTATATGATAAACTAAATGAGTCCGCGAATCGACTGGCGTCGCGCGAACAGCGCGATACAACGTCCAGCCTCAAACTCTCGTGGCGCGCAACTAACTAGTGTCACGATGACGCGCAGGTTGCATCATCTCACGCGCGCAGGCGTGCCGGCAACCGGCGCCTTCTTGGAAGAGGCGCGCGGAGCGACGATGGGGGGTTCGCAACCGAATGTCACGCTATATCCTCCCCCTCCAAGTCAGAAGAACGAAGTGATACTGGCTTGGCAATCGGTTGTTTCCTAGGCCTACCCTTCTTACGCTCGTGGATGATTGCGTCTGCATTCCCTACATACGGGGACAATAGATTAGCATGATATTTACCGCGAGGTTTGTTATCGCGGTCCGTTACCTCATAAGTAGTAGGAGATATTACTCTTTTTATTACATAAGGTCCTTCACGTTTCGGAGCAAATTTACCGGTATAACCTTTAGCCGCGTGACTAAGCCTATGGCACTCTACGAGTACAAGGTCTCCCTCTTTATATGTAGGCCCCACACGGCGCTTCTTATCAGTAGCCTCCTTACGTGTATCTTGTTCATGTTCAACTCGCCACTTCACTTCCTGCCAACGTTGTGCGAAGTCGCGAAGATAGGGTGTGATTTGAGGAACATAATTCTCCTGATCTATTACCATTCTCATGTCATTAACAATGTCTATTGGACATCTGAACTCACGGGCGAAGGTCAGAAATGCTGCCGAATGTCCAGTTACTTGGTTGTATGCAGTATTCAGAGAAAATCGTACCGCTGGTAGCACTTCCGGCCATCGACAAGGATCAATTAGCTTAGGATCAATTAGCATCGCTAGCATCTGCTTCATCTCCTTATTTTTATGTTCAGCGGGATTGGCTTCTGGATGGTACACAGGAGTCAAATTTTGTTGTACTCCTAACACACGCAATGCCTTTTGCATGACTGCGGATACAAATTGCGAGCCGTTGTCCGATATTATGCGCCGTGGAAAACCATATCGCATAAATACTTCCTCGATCAGGAGTCGGGCGCAGTTTTCAGCATTTGCTTCGACAAGTGGGAATAACTCCACCCAGCGGCTTGCAGTATCTTCGACTAAAAAGATCCACTTCTCACCTTTGCTACCTTCAGGTAGGGGACCAAACAAATCCATGGCGAGGACCTCGAATCTTTGTTGTGGGACAGGAGTTTGCAGCAAACCCGCGGGCTTCAGGTTAGTTGGCTTGAACTTCTGGCACAGATCACATGATTTGAGATATTTGTATACGAACTGGCGCATCTTCGGAAAATAAAATCTTTCCTTAATTCTTCTTAACGTACGGTCCAAACCAAGATGACCAGCTGTAGGCGCGTCGTGTAGTTCCTTCATTACTTCCTTGCGCATTGATTCAGGTAAAACTAGTTGGGGCTCTTCAGACTCATTGTCCGAGTCGAAGCGAACCAATACACCCTGCGAGACGTAATATCCGCGATCTGTCCAGCGGAGTGCGGCTTTAGAGTCTTCAAAATCAGTGAGTATCTTTTGTATCTCAGGATCCTCTAACTGGGCTGCGCGCAGCTCTTCAGAGCTACGGTGAGGTAAGTCCACAGAAACTTGGCACACGTCACAGGTAGGTTCTTCACTTTGTGCCACGTCAGTCACAGGTCGACTGAGAGTATCCGCTACAACATTCACTTTTCCAGGTGTGTATTCTACATTTAGATTGTAGGCTTGAATTTTTAACGCCCATCGTGCTAGTCGGCCACTAGGGGTCTTCAACGAGAGCAGCCACTTCAGAGGCTGGTGGTCGGATACTACGTGAACATGAGCGCCTTCGAGATATCCACGGAACTTTTCGAGGGCCCACACTACAGCCAACGCTTCCCTCTCTGTCGTGGAGTAGTTTCTCTCTGCAGAATTTAACAGCCTACTGGCATACTCTATGGGTTGCTCATCCTTCGGATTTTGTCCCTGCATCAATACCGCACCCAGCGCGTAAGCACTAGCATCAGTGCGCAGTATGAAGGGTTGGTCAAAATCCGGTTGTCTCAATATGGGACTAGAACAAAGTTTTAATTTAAGCTCCTTAAAAGCTTCAGCTTCCCGATGATCCCATTTCCAGGGCCGGTTCTTTTTAGTTAGGTCGGTCAAAGGCTGAGCTATGCTTGAGAAACGAGGTATGAACTTCCTAAACCAGGCACAGGTTTGCAAGAAGGTTCTCAATTCCTTTAAATTTGTAGGGGACTGCATATCCATTACGGCTTGCACTTTCGTAGGGTCAGCCTCAATACCTTGAGTTGTAATTACATGGCCCAAATAACTCACTCTCTCTCTGGCGAAGACACACTTTTCTCTATTCGCCTTGAGGTTGAATTGTCGCAGCCGGTCAAATACCCTTTGCAAATCGTAGAGGTGGCTATCTATATCATCAGAGATTACCAAAATATCATCGAGATACGCCACTATCGTAAGATCCTTGGATCCTGCACCTTTTTCTGATAGAGGATTCTGCAGTCCAGCACGAAACCGGTCCATTAACCGCTGGAAGGTCGCTGGAGAATTCTTGAGGCCAAAAGGCATGCGTCGGAAATGGAAGGTACCGAAGGGTGAAACGAAGGCAGTCTTATGTCTATCTTCTGGGGCTACTTCCACTTGCCAGTACCCTGATTTCAGGTCAATAGTGGACATGATGCAGTTGCTCTTCGCAGCAGATAGCAGGTCGTCGATTACAGGCAGCGGATATTTATCCGTTCGCGTTACAGCATTTAATTTCCTGTAATCTACGCAAAACCGTGGTTCGCCATTCTTTTTCGGCACTAAAACCACAGGAGAAGCCCACTCCGACTCAGTTTCTTCGATAATGCCTAAATCCAGCATCCGATCAATCTCGCGCCTTATCACTTCTTTCTTTGCAGGTGTGACTCGATAAGGTGGAGTAGAAACAGGTGCAGCATTTCCTGTATCGATTCTGTGCACAGCAAATGGTGTAGGCCCTCCCCCTGCACTAAAGATATCAGCGTTATTCTGTAAGAGAGAGACGAGCTTCTCCTTCTCCACTGAAGCTAGGAGGACGCCCTCGCATTCGCGGAGGCCAACGGCAGAACTAATTATAGAGTGCTGTTCACGTTCATATCTTAACGGAAAATAATTCTTAAAAGGTTGCAAACAATACTGGTCATTAACAAAATCGATTGCCAGGCCCGCATCACGGATAAAATTCATGCCTAACAAAGACTCCGTGGCTTCGGGTAGAACCATAAAGAGAGTTTTAATCGTCACTTCGTGCACCTTAACAAATACTGACGCAGTTTCTATCGTCTGTACGCGATGTGAACCGTCCGCGAATTTTAATTCGGTAGTAACGTTTTCGAAAAATTGTCCGTTATTTCGTAAATGTTTCGTTAAACTTTCACTGGCTACAGATTGTTTCGCACCCGTGTCTAACAACGCCGTTCCCATTGTACCGAATACTTCTATGTCAAATATAGGTCGCACACGCGGTTCGAACGCACAGGCTGATACCGACTGGAAACTCGAGGTGTTCGTTGGTGTAGCACGCCTGCCTTTGCAGGCTTCACAATTCGACCTTGTTACTCCAGGTTGTCCACATCCAAAACATGCCAGAGACGGTCGAGGCTCCGATGATGGTGACTGTACTAGCTCTTCTTTAACGCTTTCTGGCGTTATGTTTCTAGCGATCAATTTCCTACAGGTGTCCTTGGTGTGTCCAAACATTTTACAAAATGTACACCTTGGCCTTCCTGGCTTCTGCGCAGGCATCACTGTTTTAGTTGTCGAATCTCTTATTGGCGGAGCTGTGGGTGTCGAAGGTCTTTTGGCGGGAGCGGCAGTGGTAGCACGTCCTTCTTCCAGCACGTCTTCGGCAGCTCGTGCCAATTGGAGCAGCAGTTGAAAGGATGTGCATGAATCTCGTGCTACTCTTTCTCTGATTCTCCTATGCAATAATCCGTATACCATATCCAGCTGCGTATCTTCCGTCAACGTGTTTGGTGGTAACTGTGACATCAGTGCCCTAACACGACACACAAAGACGTCTGTCCGTTCGTCTCCCTGCTCTCTACTAAAGATTTCTCAGTAAATCCTCGAACGTGGCAGACGTGGACCAAATGTTTGACGCAACAGGTTAAGTGCCTCATGCCAAGCGTACACAGAGTGTCTAACACCTTGCCACCAGGTAGCAGCGAAACCAGTAAGGAGCATTGGTAGTCCTCTTAACGCCATATCGTCACTAACGTGTACACAGTCTTTATAAATTTGCACATAATCGATAAAAGCAATAACATCACCAGAACCGTCATATCTTGCTGAACAATTAGAAAGGTTCGCACTTACAGTCATTGTCGGCAACAGCGGCGGCGCGCCTTGCACAGGCGGCGCTACCCGTAAAGATTGCAATAGAAATACCAGTTGTTCATTTGACATCATAACCGGTGTGGACGTTGGTGGATATGTTGAGGCGACGGGCGGAGCCTGCCCGTACAACGGCGGCGCGTGAAGAAAGTCGGGCGGCTCACGCCCGTACTGCTGTGGAGGTGGAGTCGGGGCGCCGGCGGACGCAGGGCGTCCTGCCAGCGGCGGCGTCGACGATCGTTCATCAGCGAAATTGCGACGTCCAACTGACGACGATAGTTCTGCGCCGTCAGTCTGCTCTCCGGCGGCAGAAGACATTTCTATCTGTCCTGTGTTACGCGTAGCACTATTTGCACGTGACCGCGTTAGCACCATTGTCCATATAAAGCACTAATCCGAACACACAGTATGTGCAAGGTCAGTTCTTAACATTACCAAAAAACCAAAATGTTCGTTGAATAGTCTTTTAACACTACGTAGGCAGTTAAATACGTATGAATAGTAACAATTATGCATAAAACAACAAATATAATATTCGTACTATCAAAGCAATGTTTATTACACATTAGTTAGGTTTTAGTCTTTGATAAAACACTTCACCGAAATAAATGTCTCGTAAAAGAAATCGTCAGAACGTATAATAATCTTAACTATACCTAACAGTTGCATAAAGTGTCCATTTGCCTTATGCACTAATTATTGTCACTTGTACTATAATTGTCACTTAACACTATATAATACGACGTAGTTAGTCTATTAAACACACGATTGAGCATTAAAACTATTTAGGTATGACGAGAAAAGACTAGAACATGGCCGCACGTTGGGACGCCACTTATAGTACGATGAATGCCAGTTCAATTAAACAAGTACTCTTCATTTTAACCGTGCGTTTAATTATCGTCGTAGGATTTTAATATTACAATATATTATATGATAAACTAAATGAGTCCGCGAATCGACTGGCGTCGCGCGAACAGCGCGATACAACGTCCAGCCTCAAACTCTCGTGGCGCGCAACTAACTAGTGTCACGATGACGCGCAGGTTGCATCATCTCACGCGCGCAGGCGTGCCGGCAACCGGCGCCTTCTTGGAAGAGGCGCGCGGAGCGACGATGGGGGGTTCGCAACCGAATGTCGCGCTATAATGTTCCAGTTATCTTCTCATATTTTTGAATTTTTGAGTATTCTGTTTGCATTTCTTTATTTAAATCGGTAAATAAAGGTAATACAAAATCTAAAAATACATAGTAGTACAAAAATAATATAGTAATGGGATCTTGGAGCTTCTGTAATATATGTTCTGCAGCTAAAAGATGATAATTATTAGAGATTTGGTCTTTAAAAATAGTTTTAGAGCAGAGAGTTGTTCCAATATTCTATTCACTGCTGCATGTACTGATAACCAGCGTGTTTGAGAGGGGTGAAGTATTTAATATACTTTTAAGTCGCTAAATATATGAAAGTTTTTAAACTCTGTCACTCTTTTTTGGCTAGAAGAAAAGTAGTTTTGAATGTCTCTTACAAGATACTCTATAAAGCGTGGCAATTAGGTACAAGGATAGGACGCGCAAAGATAAAACGAATACAGGCGCATTTAAGTATAAAAATGTTGGTGTAAGCGATAGAAATTAGAACCACAATGCCGTTAATCAAGATGGCGTGGTCGAAGAGGAGCTCGATCAACTAAACGTTCGTTCGCGATGGTTGCTTGTAAAAGAGTGCCCGTAGAGGTCGTGAGAATCGTTATTTAAAATACCAATGACGAGATGCTCTTCGATCGCGGTTCATTTTTATTGATATACCTTCCTAATATAATATATTCCAGAAATATCGGTTAAAGTTTGTTATAATAAGTAAAATTAAGGTTACAAATACATATTTAATTATCATATTATAAGTTTATTATACTGTGTGATGAGTCGCCTACAATCTGCCTCCTTAGTGCTAACTAGTTAGCGCTACCGTCCTGCGGTGTCAGTAGAGCGACGCGTGTTACGGGACGACGTAACACACCTGTGCGAGTGCGGACATCTACGACGCGAACTCGTCCATCACTACCAGCGTGAGCCGCAGTCACAATCCCATGTTTCCAACAGTTACGTTCTAAATCCGGCTCGAAGGACCAGAATAACTTTGTAAGGGATAGAAATTAGAACCACAATGCCGTTAATCTAGATGGCGCGGTCGAAGAGGAGCTCGATCAACTAAACGTTCGTTCGCGATGGTTGCTTGTAAAAGACTGCCCGTAGAGGTCGTGAGAATCGTTATTTAAAATACCAATGACGAGATGCTCTTCGATCGCGGTTCATTTTTATTGATATACCTTCCTAATATAATATATTCCAGAAATATCGGTTAAAGTTTGCTTATAATAAGTAAAATTAAGGTTACAAATACATATTTAATTATCATATTATAAGTTTATTATACTGTGTGATGCGTCGCCTACAGTTGGGAAATTCATTTTGCAGCAATGTCACAACAGAATTATTACGTCCCATCATTACGTTTGCCCCTTCAGATGCAAAACCTATTAGATAATTTTTATATGGAATATCATTGCTTCTAAAAAAGTTTACAATGTGTTCTTCTAATGGAATAAGAGCTTAAAAACAATCTTTAATACGGTTCATTTTCGCATATCTCACGACTTAACACAAGTGTTTGGTTGTACCAAAATCAGTGGACTCGTCAGTAATAAGCGACAACTTAGTTTGCCTTAGATCTTCACATAAATTATTGAAACTTTCTTTACCTATAATATGATCAATTATGTCATGAGTTTTGGTCGAAGAGAATTTTATTTCTTTTCCTATTTTGGAATCAGGACAAACGGCTTGCATCAGCTTCGGTAGGTGCTCCATAATAGTGAAGTGTAGATTGTGTTCAACAACAAACGAGGCTGATCTTATTTCACCTGAAATTAAAATAAAGAATTAAACTACGTAGGTATATCTAGGAATCATTTCTGTTTGCACCATAATCTTCCATTTCAGACTGATATGACTCTTTGATACCGATTCGTTTGACAACGGCTTCTAGAATTTTATAATCATTACAGCATTTTTCTTCCAACCTCAAACCACAACGTGTTCTCAAAATAGCAGATAAAAGATTTTTAGGAACCGTTAGGTTGAAGGTGTGGCAACTGGCAAGGGAGACTAAACGATAATGAGAAAGTATTTAAAAAAAACGAAAGCACTAAAAAAGCACCTCCACTAGATGGCGACTCTATCAAAAGTTGATTTTTGCAGGAAACGAATGGACTTAAGACAGTCATTTTCGTTCCTTTTAACTAACATATTAAAAAACTGAAATTCGACAAGTTCGAAACTTAGATATCAATACAAATACGAAAAAGTACAAATTGAATATGAGTTGTATATTGAGTTTTGAAAACTCATTTACTTTTAAACATGAAAGAAAACCGGAAAGGTCGCTAGTACTCGAAGCCTGTATTCGAGGTACTCGAGCACCCGAGTACCAGCTAGGTATTTGAGTCAGTCTGATACGGCACATCTCTATGCACGATTACTAGTTGTCTTCTTCTTGGTCTGTGGTGCTAGTTGACAAGGTTTTGTGCTTTGGTTTTGTGTCCATGTCGTCCACGAAGTAGAAGTACCAATGTGTTTAAAGATAATAACTACTTTGGTATATTACAACTGATAATGGATTTTTGAAAATTAGAAAGATAACAATAGTTAGCGTCATGGTTGTATCACCTCAAAGTCCCTCTCCAGACACCCAAAACACACAATCTAGAAAACATAATATGGCGTCTAAACAGACGTCAGTAGCTGATACAAGGACAGAATTAGCGGAGTTAGTTAAAAGAAAAGCAGAAGTTGCCGTGAGTAATACAAGTCATTTATTACTAACCGAAGGCCTAAACCATTAAATTATCTTTTCGCAATTCTTTTGTTCCCAGGAAACTTTAGCAAACTTGGAGCGTCAAATTTATGCTTTTGAAGGTTCATATTTGGAAGATACCCAACTGTATGGGAATATCATTAGAGGATGGGACAGATATCTTACAACCAATAAAAGTACGAATTCTAAAGCAGACAAACGTAATAGGAAATTTAAAGAAGCGGAAAGATTGTTTTCTAAGTCATCAATTACATCAATGGCTGTAAGTAATATTAATTGATAAATTGGCACTTTTAATACCATGGTAATGTTTATTATGAAGAAATGTATTGAAAAGAAATCACCCATTTCATGTGCCTAAGATGGGATTTGAACTGAAGTCAACAAAAGCTAATGAGTTCAAATTTCATACCAGAAGAGAACGGTTATTTTCAAATAGGTACATTTCTTTCAGGTTGAGTTTTTGAAGTAGTTTCCAAATGAGTTAAATGCCTAAGTGGTGATAATTTCTTAATAATATTTCAGGCTGTTAGCGGTCTTGTGGATCCTGCTGAAACTAAAAGTAAGTATCCAAGATACAGGAGTGCCTACTACTTGCTGTAAAGTATTTTTTTGCACAATAGTAGCATTAATACACATTAATTTATTTTCTCTCTGTATATATTTTGATTAGTGGCACATGGTTTTTATTTTCTCAGATAGCAAAAAATATATATACATCTATGTATGCAGAATGTTTGAATGAGAAATTTTTTGTGTATCAAAAACTTCTTGTTCAAGCAATTGGCATACTTAAATTGAAGAACAATTTGCATTATCTTATTTTGATGTACAAAAGTTGAATTATAAATGACTTAATTATTTTGTGTTACAAAAGTCTGTCTCTGGTATTTTGTACACATACAAGTCAAAATTATATAATAGCCTGATGATGTTGTCTTCCAGATGATTTAAGAGTATATCAGCCTATTGCCTAAACATCCATTAATTTTTTCTTTAGTTTAAAGCGCCATTAGCCATACAAATTTGACATTCATTAGAACTTATAGGCATTATTTAACCTTAATGGACGTTTGTACAACTGGCTGTATGTATGTTAAAGCTAGATTTTTAATTGTCGATAGGGATAACATGAATGACAGCCTGAAATGACAATCCAAAACATATTTTATGTTCATGCTAGTTATGCCAATTATAATTTTTTTGTGTATTTGAATTATCATTGGATAATTGTAAAATGGATCCCAAGTGCCAGGCCAATGGGACTGCTATGTGTTATAAATCCTGTTTGAGCATCCTTTAAAATCTATTCTAATAGGGATATTATTATTGATGTAGAGAATTTGTTTTGACTGTGAGTATTGTTATTGGCTGATAATATACTGCTGGCATTATCTTTAGGCAGGATTGGTCTAATTCACAATTGATAAATTTCACATTGAGTCAAATTTAGTATGATTCTTGTTTAGCCCTGTTCACATATATATATATGTTTTACTATAAATAATAATGATTGTGTTTTAGATGAAAGAAACAGTGAAACTGAATCACAGACAAATGAGGATTCATCAGATACACAAATTAGCTCTGGATTAAATATTGGGAATTTAAATCACACCACAATACATGGATCATCTGAGAGTATTGTATCTAAGCCATCAGGAAAGCAACATACAAACAGTAATATGGACAAACCTATGAGTCAGACAAAACAAAGTGCTACACAAAAAATTGCAACTTCCTCTGGTATGCTACAAAAGGCTTTCAATGAGAGTAAAATGTTGGCGGCTGTGGGTCTAGATAGTAGACCTGGAACACCCAAGGACAAAGACCAGACATTGAGTATATTGAATAAAAATGACAACACTCCAAATGCACTTAAACATAAAATGTCAAATAGTAGTTCTAACAGTAGCGTAAAGAAGAGTAACAACAAAAAAGCCAGACATAGATAAATTTGATTTATCCTGCAGTTAAGATTCATAATCATACATGTTAGAAGATAAATTAATTTGAAAAATACCTAATCAGTGCTTTGGTAGTAATAACATACTATAATGACAAAATATATTCACTTAAAAACTAAATGATGAATCTATTTCCTTATAAAACATAAGTTTGAATCAAATTAGTTATTTCAATATCAGTATTGTGAATATGAATAATGAGGAAGTATTTAAAAAAAAAATAGTTCCGGAAATCAATCTAGATGTCAGTACTTGATTTCTCCATGACAACCTTTCTGGTTTTCTTTCAAGTTTAAAAGTAAATTAGTGTTCAAAACTCAATAAACAACTCATATTCTATTTGTACTTTTTCGTATTTGTATTGATATCTGAGTTTCGAACTTTTCAAATTTAAGTTTTTAATGTTAGTTAAAAGGAACGGAAATTACCAATTTTAGTCCATTCGTTTCCTGTAAAAATTAACTTTTGCTAGAGTCACCATCTAGTTGAGGTGCTTTTTTAGTGCTTTCGTTTTTTTTTTTTAAATACTTCCTCATTATCATTTAATTGTCTAATAGCTTCCAAATTTTTATTGCTACTTTACAAATTGGTGTGGCAGTGATATATTTAATTACACTGACCATTTTTGATGAAAATTAACAGTACATATTATACAGTTCTTATAAATGTATCAAGGTGCATATGTAAATGGTAAACAATTGTAGCGGAGTTATAATTTAAGAAATGGTCAGTTTATTCTTCCTTGAACTGACCTTAAAATTGACTGTTTGAATCTTGACTCTGGAAATACAATATGGTGATATTAATGATGTTCTCATTACCATTATTAATAAATAGTTATTAAATATTAGTAAGGAATATTTTATTTCAATTTCTTACCTTTTAGTACATTAGGCAAATCCCTGATTGGTCTACAATACCTAACAGTTATGTAAAACAATAAAGGCAGAATAGCAACGATCACTGTGCAAGTTAAAAATATCAATTCTGGTGTCTTCCGGATATCACAGCAGTGAAGGTTTTTACTCCATATCGATCTTGTGGTATTCATCTAAGAAAAGACATTTTTTTATTTGATCAATTTGACCATAGAGTATATTCACCAAGAAAGCGAACTTACCGAATCTACTATATCCATACAAATACTATCAACTCCAATAGAATCTTTACTTAAGGATTTGTAATAATCATCTAATCTTATATAAAATCCCATACACTTATTACAAATTTCCTTTGTGTTATTACTAAATGGATTCATGTTACTTGTGATGCAATTCATTGTGTTGCTAAACATTTTATTGAACTCGAGTGTACTATTTTTAATTTCTGGTCCATCAGCAGTCCAGTCAAAACAGTCTGGAATAGAAATGTAATAATCCACAGTAAATTTATATAATGGCTGCGTTACAACAGGCTAACTGGTTTAACCAGCTGTTCAATCAGACAGCCAACCCCTTAATTCCCTTCAACTGGAGATGGGGCATATTAATTATATGGAACAGGGCCAGTCAATACAAACCATGACAGGTCGAAACAAGTGGGGTTTGAACGAGAAGTGAGGCGTAATGTTACCAAACCCGATTTTTAAGACAAACTAGTTTTGCCTAGGCTAAACTAGTTTTTCATATATGCAATAGGATTAACCGGTATAGGCTAGACTAAACTAATTCATAGATACTAAGCTAAATAGAATGAACCAGTTTAGGTTAGATGAAACTAGTTGATCTCAATATAACTAGCACACTCCTGGGATATAGAACGTAAAATACTCAATTTGTAAAATATCAACTTTTATTAAAACAATAATGATGATACTTCATTAAAACTTACAATTAACTACTAATAATAATTTGTAATAAAACAATGTTACTAAAATAAAATAATAATTAGCTGGTTTTTAATATAAACAATCATATTACAATAGATTTCTAATGAAATCTTTCAATGGAGATAATATTCTTTGACTGTTTATTTTAATTTTGTATTAGGAGAATAAGTCTGACCTTATTAAAACTGCTTTATCCTATTGCGCTTAAGATAAAATTTGTCTAGGTTATCAGTTAATCCTATTCTGTCTCATATAGGGAAGAACTAGTTTGGCCTAGGCAGAATTAGATTGTCCTGAAATTGTATGGGGAGTAACGTGACTAATAAGCCAATTTTTTTACCTAAGGATTCCCAACATATTTTTTTTTCTTTTATTTTAGATTGAAATAATAATCTTGCATTTACCCTTAAATATATAAATTTTTCAGCTATGCTTACCGTTACAGTTTCCCTTATCCCATATTGTCATTAAATTATCATGGAATTCTTGGATAGCATTAAGTCTGTCTTGTGAAATAAATAATGCAAGACATGATGTACCATTTACAACAGTATCTGTTAAATTTTCATAGATAGCGTGAAATTGTGCATAATGGTCCACACACTTTTCACAGAGCCTAATAGGTCTGGCATATTTAATAGAGCATACTGTAAAGTTGGATGCAGACTCCGCAAAAGAGTCAAGTAATTTAGAACATAATTCTGGTTGTGGAAATTCAATGTAACTCCTGAAAACATGATCATTAGTAATGCGAAATGAGACAACTTTATTATTATCGCATATATAATGTTAGGTCTGTACGTAAAGCTGTACAAAACTCAATTTTTTGTTGAAAGTAGAATCGTTTGGGGAAATTTGAGATTTGTAGAAGTCTGACGTGCAAAACGTGTGTACCTACATTAAATAATTAAAATCAACTTGTTTTTCTGCTTCCAAATTGTTAATGACGCAACACAACACCAATACAATTACAATTTTAAGACTCATATTCTTATTATCAGCGTTTTTTAATCTATTTTAATGTCTCTTTTGTTTTGTAGTCAAATCAAATCTGATAATTTCTTTTGACTTTTTGTTATTGTTATCGTCTGTCATTTCGAATTGAGAGACTATGGGTATGTTCCGATATACACTGCGCCACACTGCGACCACTGAACAGTATGACGTCAATTTAGTATACTGGAACTTGGAAGCCCGTTCCTTTATAGCTAGTTATACTGGTGACTTTTTAAAACGGAACGCAGTCCAGTATACTGTTAATCCTATTTTTTGGCGCCATTTTCAAATTTGTTAATGCAAGGTGAATATAATATAAAGATTTCCTCTTTTCAAAAGAAAATATTATAAAATTGTGTATAAAAAAAATATTTATCAATTAAATCCATCTTATAATAAACGTAAGTATTTTTTTTTTGTTTATTTAGTAACTTATCATTTTCTGATTCTGTTTCGACTGATCACGTGATCAAAAGCACTGCGAGCACCTTACCTCGAAATCTCCAGTGCTCACAGTATAAATATAGCAGCAATTTATGACGTCATAAATTTCCCTAGGGTACTATAGCAGTGTACTGGCAGTCTACAACGGAACGGATTTTTCAGCAGTAAGACCACTGCGCAGTGCTCGCAGTGTATATCGGAACATACCCTATAATCGACTTAGGATTGGGCAAAAACTATCGATGTATCAAAATATCAATATTTTTCTAAAATAAACTATAAAAATTAGCTCTATTTTTTCTCGCGACATATCGGCTTTCGATATTTATTTTCAGATGTCAAATCGTATCATAATCGAAATATTTTTTAAAGTTCTGCTGTCTGCCCATACGTCGCATTATGTAAATTTAAAAAGAGTAGATAGGTAGTAGGGTATCAGCATTTTCTTTTAAAAGCAATCTATTTTCGTTAAAACTCACTAAATTGTAAAATAAAATACAAAATTTATTTTTTTTTTGTGCTAAAACTTGTTGCTGTTCATAAATGACATGATTTATATAAGTTGTTTGATATTTTACGAAAATTATTTCAGTGGATTTTAAAAGTAGACCACTCGTTTTAGAAATTGAACATTATAGTACTAACGGTTCTTGGGCCCAACATTTCAATAATTGCATAACATACATTGATTATATTAAATCTATGTTGCACAATAATGTGAGTATTAGGGATTGATTGATCTTATATCAAATAGGATCTTTGATTCTATTTGATATAAGATAATATTCTACAAAAGCTTTTTTTAACACACACAGAAACACACTATTTGACAGCTTTTGTATAGACACTTTTTTAGAGGAGTATCTATATGGTCAAAACTAAATATGAATTTACATATTTGAAATATATTTTTTCCATAAAATTAATCGGTAACTAAATATCTAAACTCCGTAACCATTAAAAGAAAATTAGTTATTATTTTATTTTCAGTTTATGCAATAATTTTTATTAGTATAAACTCCAACTCAAACTTAACAAACAAAAATAATTTGTATTGTATTGAGGCCAGGGTAATAAAAAATACTTCCAAATATTTATTGAATTTAGGCATAGAACCTAAATGGCAACTGTAAATAAGCCGTATCAATCAATACTCGATACCGGCAATTTTTATGAGTACTTACCGTGCTGTAGTATCGAGTACTTAGCATCGAGTATCACTTTTGAAAGTATCGATACCTACTCGGTATCAAAAGTACCGTTCAAACCCTACCGGTGACATGTGTCACAAAGAGTAGTATTATATTATATTATATTAGTAGTATTATATATGTGTCAAATCAGATCTCGTACTTGTTCTGTTCTCTTTGTTTGTTAGGAAAATATTAAATATAACAGAATAAAAAAATGTATTTTAAACAAAGAGATTAGTACAAATATTCTTGGAACTTATTTCTTTCTTGACAAACAGAAAAGTATGGAACCAACGCCAGAAGCCTTACAAAGAAAACTATATTTTCTTTTAGAGCAGCTGCAAGAAATGGCTAGAGAATTGCCGCCGTATGATATTTTCATTATTAAAAATCGTAGTATAATATGAATTTATGTGTCATTCTTATTTGCAAGTATATTTTTCCAGAAAATATCAGATGCGTGTGCCGATTGAACTTTTATCTGGTTTAGCAAACTGCCTTCTGAATGATACAGTATTTGAAATAGTGAAGGGCTTGATGGAAATTCAGCATGTAACTGAAAAACATTTATTTCAACAAAGATTGCAAGTTATAAATAAACATACATGTAAGTTTAAAATGTTTTTTCAAATTCCTTATTGAAAAAAAAGTACTATCCTGGACAGGAATTTCGACACATTTGCTGCATTGTGGAGAGCTCAGAGCGACAATCTAGTCAGGATTGCCAGGAAGCATTGGATGAAAACCAATATGATGATATTTGGGGAAGGCCTTGATCCAGTAGTAGATGTTTCTTGGCTGAAATGTATAGATAATCATGAGATCACTAATAGTGTGTAGTGATCTTGTCTATAAATATATCATAAAAAGTGAAGGTTTGATCGTATTTTTCAAAAGCTACATCATTCACGGGTGCCATAGGCTTAATGCTTCATATATATGGGAAGTCACAAGAAAATAACATGTTTATAATTATTTGTAATAAATAGTTATTTGTCTCAATAAAATAAATGCAATTTAAAATTAATGTCTGTACATATATTGTTTATTTTTACAGTGGAAATTCAAAATATGGTTAATACAACACCAGATCCAGAGCAACAAGAAATTCAGAAAGCTATATTATTGACTAGGCATAAAGAAGAATTAAAACAAACTGATATGAAACTAGTTTTGCAACTGGATCAAAAAGTAATAATATCTCTTATTAAAAAAAATAGATTAAAATTATGTTGGTATAATATTTGATAATGATAATGAAATATTTCATATATTCCAGGTAAGTGACCAACAGGTTACTTTAGAGAAAGCTGAAGTTCCAGGATTTTATGTTACAAATAAGTCGATAGAAGTGAAAGTGCAAATGTATTTATTAGATTTTATATTAAGATTGAGCCAAATGGATATTCCACATGGGTAATTTGAATTAAGAGGATGAAAATTATGAATAAGACTCTTTATTTTATATTTCTCATATTTCCTATATTATCATATTGATATGTATATATGATAATAAAATATGCATAAGACACAAGTATAAAGTATAGTGCTATTATTCTGATTGATCTGTATATTGGAGTTTCACAATTTACCTTTCTGTAAAGGTACAGTCAACATCAACAAATGTGTTGAATTCCTCCACTTTATTTTAAACCTTAATTTTGAAGGTAGAGTTTAAAATCAACTGGAATGTTGTAGTAACCTTACTTGTAGTCGTGTGTACATTAATTTTATATTAATGTAGCTATGTATTATTATTATATCCTGTTATCAATATATCTATTTGTTTTTCAATGCTAGCACTAACATTAATTATGTGAAATAGTTTTCAAGTGCAAATGAAACTATATGTGTAGTACAAATCAAGATTTATTTTTGGCTTCATATACCTCCCAGAAATACTAAGATGGACAAGAAAATAATATCAATATATTTGAAATAAACATAACATCTTCAACACAAAATATGATTTGATTCATTTAAAATTCCACACGAACATTAAACTGATCACTCAAGATAATACCTTACAAGATTCCTATTTTTATGTCAAAAAAAACCATGATCTTAAGAAAATTTGAATACAGTTTGTTGACACATAGTAACACTACAAAAACACACAAAATTAACTTTATTGTCTCTAGCAATAAAATCCTAACCTGTAATATTTACCATCAGATTTCATTACAGATTCAATAAAAGTTGCAAGTGTTTTATAGATTTATGAACATAAATAAAAAAATACTATTTCTTCATTCAGGACACCTAAGTCATTCAGATTTTTATTGTTTTAAAAATTATAGATCTAATAAAAATACAGATATTTTGTGATGTTAACAAGTACATAGATTTATATTATCAAAACTATATTTTTTGTCAAAATGTGTGAATTTTTAACTTTTATATGGTGTTTTTTCACAATTAACAGTTGTCAAAGTTATATTCAAATTCAAATGAATATTCATAAAAACTTATTTGTAAACACATATAAATTCAATTATTTGTGCTCTATATTTCGATTTAATATTTTTATAATTGAGTTATTCAAAAATATGCATGAAATACAAACCAACAACAATTAACAAAAATACATAATCTGCATAAGGTTTGTGCACGATTTACTTGCTTTGTGCATTATCATTAAAAAAATTACAATAACTTAACCCCATTTTTAAACTTTCGCGTTGCATTATATTAGATTGTATAAGATGGGTATTAAGGCGATAGATGAAAAACCAAATTACCGAAATCTATCGCGTTAATACCCATCTTAAACAATCTAATATAAACCGATATTATTAAAAAATAATACCCTTACTAATAAGAAACATAACCGTTGTGAAGTTACACATAGCTCTATTCAAGTCATTCCAATATCACTTTTAGTTCAAGTGAATAGGGCAAAACATTAAATATTCAACGTTTATACATTGCTTATTGGTAAGGCCATATGTATATGGTTATTATTTTCGCAAAGATTTACAATTAGCAATATAGATTTAAATTAATCGCTATTTTGTCTACCATCAGATTTTCACAAAGACGAGAATGATAATCGGGAGTTATAAAAAAAGTACAAAATTACATAATACCACTCAGCAAATATGTTATTTACATAATTTTTAGCTACATTAACATTCAGTCTCTAAAATTTCTAAGAATTGTCTTGGCTTGTCTTATGTACGAACTACGTTACGTACGATGTACAGTGAACACAGCACGACGGGCTACACAAATTGCCACATTTCTTCACTGAATTTTGAACCTTAATCTTTTGGGGGTAGAGTTTAAAATCAATTGGAGAAATTCGACATACTATGATAACCTGACGTGTAGCCGTGTACATATTCTGTTAAAATAAATGTTCAAAGAAATTTTCACACAAATGCATTTGAATTGTCTCTGTCTTTTGTCTTATTTGGGCCTTACCAACTTACTGAGAAATGTGTTTCCAATGTTTTATTGAAGTATAACGGTTTAATTTACAGTTATAGTATCCCATTCGTTATCCAATTTGTTTAGCGTACGAATGACGAAGGAATATCAATCGTATATTCAATATATAATAATATAAGGACCATCACTTTATTAGTAACCATGGACTTCATTAGTTCTTATAAGTGTGAAAATAAAGTATGTTATTGAATGTACATTTGAAGAGCTGAATTTGTACACGTTTTTCACACATGACATTTTATTTTCAATTAGAAGCAATACTAAAATACCCTTGCATCATGAAGAATACCCTTGAATAAGATAGTTAAAAATGAGTATTAATAATTTTCAACATTCAAAAACGGCGTTAATTACCTTAAAAAAATTTACAACAAATACTTTGTATATCTTGTGTAATGCTACAATGATTTAGATTTTAATGACGCGTTTACGAAAATCATTCCATAAAACAAGTTTCATACATGCTCATTATATTTGCGGCCAATGAGGAAGTATTAAAAAAAAACATTGATAAATCAAACTAGATGTCGCTACGATACATTCTTGATTTCTCCATGACAACCCTCCCGGTTGTCTTCCATGTTAAAAAGTAAATAAGTTTTCAAAACTCAATAAACAACTCATATTCTATTTGTACTTTTTCGCATTTGTATTGATTTTCAAATTTCAGTTTTTTAATATGTTAGTTAAAAGGAACGGAAATGATCGTCTTTGATCCATTCGTTTCCTGCAAAAATCAACTTTTGCTAGAGTCGCCATCTAGTGGAGGTGCTTTTTTAGTGCTTGTTTTTTTTTTAATACTTCTTCATTGGTTAAAATAACCATAAATAAGACAGTTACCGGTTCATTAGAATGCGCCATTTAATTAATTGCACGGCTGAACATCGATCAGCTTAGTAGCTCTACTAACTGGTTATATCCAAAACATATTAATTACATAATAAAAACATTATTCACATTCACGATCTGCATTTCTGTTCACGAAACTCTATTTTCACAATAAAAACACCTTAACGTGATGAAAAATATAGACATAAAGCGTCTCTTGACGCCATTTTGTATACAAAACAAATTTGCGCAGCGATGGCAGACAAATATACTATAAAAAATTCAAAGCGGTTTATAAATCGGTTCGTAAATCGAATGTTTTCAATATCGATGATTTAACTATGAAACTAGTCATGCAAATTAATGTCAGATAGTCGTCATAATGAACAGTTGTTTTAACTAGTTTGCTGTGACATACACAGTGTTATTTTTAAAACACCAACAATTTCGCACGACCAGATAGCCGTAATAATAACATCGTAAATAAATGTGCGTACTAAGAATTTTGATATTTCATAACGTTATACTTTTATTACAATAATTAGAGTTCAAATTATTATGTTATGTTGAAACTCGTAGAAAGTTGTTTTACAATATTGGATTGGATACTTGTCTTGCGAAGTTGCTGGTGATTTACAATCACCATGTATATTTATACAAACGCTATAATATTTTATAAATTTTCCCAGGTAGTTAAAACTTCACCATGTACATTAGTAAACAAATTTATATTGAAAAGTACGAATATATTTTTAAATGTTAATAAAATCACTTATAAATAAAGAAATAATCTAATATAGAAAATTTGGCACCAGCCTTATAATTAGTCTGGTAAATAAACCTTAAACATCCTTACGAGAGACAAACATAATATTCCAAACATATTTAGGTTGTATTAAGCTACTGACACAATAGAGGAAATTAGGTATAAGTTGTTTGATCACAACATCTTACCATACCATGGCCGTAATAGGAATGTGCCAGGCAATACATATTCAATACATGAGTATTATACAATGTAACTTGGCATAGAACGCGTTTAATTCGGTCTAGTGAGCATATTTGCCCGGTTCATAATGTAATTTATTTTTACGCTTGATATACTTACAGCCATGGTATGACATTGTGTAATGGAAATGTCCTTTAAAGAATAAATTTATAAATTCAAACATGTGCTTTGTATCGCAATTTCTATAAAAGAATTAATATACATGACATTTTCAAGGAAGTTACACAATCCACCCATAAATGTTACGTATTCCAATAAGTCCACACATAAAAAACGATAATTCAAAATAATCTCCTTGGTTAAGAATTAATTACTCAATGACCTGAGAACCAAATTATAAAAAAAAACCCTATACTAAAATTTCTTTATGTATAAGAGCAATATAATGTTTATTCATTAATTTTATAAAAATACTTTTCAAAACAACACTTTTGCCAACAACAATTTCTTATGTGTGTTATAAAAAATTACTCCATGGCAAATATTCTATGAATAGCTTATATACTATTCTTCATAACTTTTTATAAAAACAAATTAATAGTCAATAACACTACCCTAAAAACATATTGTTAACAAACATAAACATGATTCACACAATATATAAATAAACATAGATTTTTTAAAAACAATGTTATATATTATTATAATATTGTACACAATATTTTGTTAAATACTGACAGGTACTTTACTTTTTTTCGGTTCCGTAGGAGGATCCTTGGCTGATTTTGGACATGCCAATCGATTTTTGCAGGAGTATATAAACTGAAACAAAAAAATGTATATGATAAAAGACCTTTGCAGCAGAGTCGAGCGATAATGATCGTTCCAATAGCTTAAAAATAAGGTCTAAAATTAAGTAATTACAACAACAAATATCTTTTAGACCGGCTTTTTCTAGTCCATGGACCCAAGGGGGATCTTTTATCACGTGTTTGATGTCCTAAATTTTACAAAAATAGTACATTTTTCAGTTTTCTTAAAAAAACAATGTTATCGTGAAACACTTTTTTAAACTTTGAAAACATTTGATACATACACTCGACGCATCTTCCTTCAAATGTGCACCGACTCTTAGTGTTTCTTAGCTTTTGAAATCGTCAAACAGTTAACCACGTACTTAGGTCAGTTTAGTATTCCATACCCACTGGGTAAAACCTTATTACTAACACTTCGCTGTCTGTTTGTCTGTCTGTATCTCATGAACCGTGATAGATAGTTGAAATCTTCACAGATAAATTTATTTCTGTTGCCGCTACAACAACAACTACTATAATATAGAATAAAATGAATATTTATTATATTTTTGCTCATTTTCAGAACTCGTGGTGTGTGAGTCAGACTCGCACTTGACCGGTTTTTATTTTGCTTTAAGTAATTTTTATACAAGTGTATCGGTAATGAAAAGGAACTTACAGGCGCCTATAATAACGCTACCAATAGAGAAATACAGAAGTTTGCCACTGAGAAGTAGTCCCAGCAGATAATATAGCATTGGTGTGAGTGTAACGACGACCCAGCCCAAAGTGTTAATTAAAGAGTATATACGACGGTGCATGCTGAATGATTCGATCCTCTCAACACCAGACTCCAAGAAGAAATCTCCAGTGTTCAAGAATGAGTCTTGCATTTTGTCCTGAAACAAGAAGAAGAAACAAGAAATTAATAGATCTTTTGCGATAGTTCTTAATAAATCGATGCTCCAACTGGATTATATATATGTACACATTCTAATCCATAGAGAACTTCATTAAAAAAACAATACGCCATACAGTCAGGTATTTTATATCATTATGTACTTGTATTCAAATAATTGGTTTTCATGCAATCGTATTCTACCTACAATAATCTATACTAATATTATAAAGAGTTTGTTTGTTTAAACGCGCTAACCTCTGGAACTACTCTGAAGTCACTTTTACTAGATTTACTATCAACGATTGATCGATAATTCGTAAATAAATCAATTAGTCTGGCATGATTGTCAAATTCTTAGAACGGCTGACATTAAATATAGCCATTTGAAAATAATATTGTAACTCCTAAAACTTTCCACAGCCATGTCTGTCTTCGACTGCGACCCATAGATTAGTTGTTATACATATTTCCTCAAAGTTTACGTAATAAGAAGTTACGATATGAACTAATATTTTACGACTTGTCAACACGCGTATGAATAGATTGAATAATGTAGACATAATTATCACGAAAACGGACTTTAGAATAGATAAAATATCGGCAACAGTGTTGATAAAACAAGACGTAGACGGACTAAAATTATAGTTTCATATTAAAATGGAGTTAAGCCCTATTCTATGGATTATAGGCCTAGATCGCAAGTGTTTATCACCTAAAGACGGTAGCTAGATTTCCTGCACGTGTAGTCTACACCCAAATGTCACTTTCTCGGGTCGAGAATGAGATGTGGTATGAGCGCACCCGAGAAAAGTGACAAAACGTTCTCGAGTTCGTCATGCTACCCGTGCTGGATTGTAGATAGTTCATAAGTTAAAAAAAAATATCTTACCTAAGCTATACACAATATTGCCAAGATAAATAAATATATAAGTAATTTAACGCATTAATACACATAAGAATTAAATTATGAAGTCAGATATATTCTTATGATGTTCATATAATGTATTAGTGAAAAATGTCGTCCTGGCACAACGCTGAATGGTGTAATATTGAAAACATATTTAGCTATTGCAACAATTCATTTTGTAGTTATGGGTCAATATGTGCACTCGTATTACATTAAAGCAGATTTAAATTATTTAGGACGAGGATCACAAACCCCGCTAATAACCATATAAGAATTAGATCGCTTTGACATATAAATATAGTTTTAGAAGCGCTATTAAGCACCTAATATATAAATGTGAATGAGGTCTTATATTAATATAGAGAGGTACTCGCACGACATTATTTATTACTTAATAACACTGTTTTATATGTACCTTAGTAACAAATAGATCGTGCATCCACTTGGCCGCCTCATTTTCATCTTCTGGCACACTTTCTACGGGTATCCTTTGGATGAGTAAATGTGCGTGTACTGGTTTTCCATACAGCAAACTTGTCAATGTCGGTGGAGTCTAAAAAATATTTATATTGGTAAAAAGAATTCACATCAGTAGCAACACATTTAACAAAAAGGCGAAGTTCATTTTCTGAATAAGCTATATTATAGCATACAAATTATGACTTAACTGAATATATTAATAAATTAATCGTATAACAAGCTTGTGGTGGATAAATGACTGACTGACTATGGGATAAATGTTGGACACACTACTGTAAAATCCGTATTGATAATTATTTTTCAAACGTTCGTCGTTATTAAAGTACATAAGTAAAATGGAATGGAATATGCGTCTGATTCAAAGAAGGGTTTAATATATTTCATTTTGATCATTATTGCTTTAGAATAAAGTCTATGTAAATATTTTCAAGATTAAATCGTTTCCGTCTTGATAATAATGGTTAAAAAGTACAAAAAAATACGGTAACTTAAAAATATTCAAAAGCCACACGTTTTACCAGGTAGGTCATTCACACTTTAACCTGTCCTTTTCAGGACAGGGTAGTTGGAAAATTGGTTTAAGGCTTAAGGTACATTTGCCCTGCGTTGGTTAAACTCTTCATTGTGTTGAGACTATACAAGTTATAGTAGTTGATCCAGAATTTTCGAATTTCTAATTCTATTTTCAAAGATAAATGTTACAGTTTATGGAGATTGATAAATTTTCATAAAAAGGGGTCCAAACTTTTGCTTTTAATAATGATTAATATGTTTAAACTATTGTCTAAAGAACTAGGGTATAATTATAGCTTCAAACCTTGGCATCTTTTTCAAATGCTAATTGTATGTTATAGATAGCTGGGATCTTTCCTCTGAAAAACTGTAAACTCGTTGTGAATCCTCTTGTGCGTGGTGTTAAATGGTGTTTGAGAAGGGGTAGATTCTTCTCCTTAGCGAACTTCAATGATGCCTCATGCTTTTTCGCTGTGTACCTAGTGCCTTCAGGAGTCAGTAATAGCTGGAACAAAGATATTAAAATTAAAGTTGTTTGCCCACTATATCGTATTACCGAAAAAGGGACATGCCAGGCTACAACATTTTATTTGTATATTAGTTCGAGACGACATCCACTAGACTAGATCGTTCCGTCATAGACCAAAACCAGAGCGTCCATGCACGAAGCTTTCCAGCTACTTATATTGCTTTTTTTTAAATAAAGTGTATCTTATTGTTATTGAAACAAGATTCATTATAAATTTTAATAAACATATCTGAATCTGAACGATATCTAATCCCATTTTAAATCTTTGAAATTTCACTAATCAGACGTACTCGCGAATTCTTTCTTTCACATTTGTTTAATCGTGGTAAGCGTATCAAGAATACATGAAAATAATGATTATCACATAACAACAGAGGCTGTGGGTGCACTCACCGTCACTGAGTCATAAACTGTTTTATCTCATTTCCTATTACTTTGGATTTATTACTGTTTTAATCATATAGAGGTATCCGAGATGAATTAATATTATTATTATTATTATAAGGTATTATTGTAATTAAATACACGCATATCGTCGCGTTAAGCACACGATTGTTGTGTCAGTACTTTTACTTTTCTAATAAATTTTTGACTTAGACTCAAATTGCCATAATTTAAAATTCAATATGGCGTACGCTACAAAATGCCGATTTATTGTTTCCATAGTAACTCCCTGGTGTGATTATGGATATCAGTTGTAAGGGTTCATTGAGAAGAAAGGTAGAATACAATAAGCAAAATTAGTTGATAAATAATAACAGAAGTTGATAAATAATAATTATACGAATTCATGAGTTTAGCAATAGGTATAAAACATTCGTGTTACTTAAGGTCAAGGCGTGATATATTTTTACGATTTATTTTATATCTCTATATAATACTTTCATTGATAGATAACGTACAAATACATATTCAAGGTTAATCGCTCCAGACAGTCGTGTCGTCAAGTTAAATGTTTGTAGATTTTATCAGATTAAAATAGAAAATATTTAATAGAGTTCTGTCATTGGTCGCGCTAATTGCTGTAAAACAAACATAAATTATATATATAAATATATATATATATATATAAATCGGACTTTAATCTGCGCGTAAACGATATCATAGGTTATCTTACTTGTATACCAATGACACTCCTTTCATTTTATTTAGATAATACATAATGAGCTCAAGTATTAAGCAAGCAGTATCAATTTTCAAACATCCTATTTTAGACTTGCTAATCTTTGACATAATGAAGAAATTGTGTCAGACTATATTCAATCAAGGATTTATCTGTATTAAGCACACAATGTCATTCACTTATATCCGTTCTTTAAGATATTTCAATCTTCGTACCTTCATGGAGAAGAATCTTAGAAATATCATTTTGTGATAACATCGCAGGCAGTTCCTTTTTTTAATTTAAATAATTCGTAGATTCTGGTCACAGTCAAGATGTGAATTTATAAAAATCACGAGCTACACAAAAACATTCCCAGTTCTTCATTTTTTGTTTGAAATCAAAGATATTTAAGTATTAAGAAGAATAATTGTCATCGTTAACATGTATCAGATTTTAATTTAATAATTGATTTTGGTAGACACAAAATGTCAAATTTCTGCAATCGATTTTAACTTCTACCCTCGATATAATTAAGGTTCAAAATCATTTTTATTATTTATTTTTATTATTATTATTATATCTCATATTTTTATTATTCGCCACTGAACATTTATGAGGTGATAATTCAAGGTGATCTGATAACAGTTGTTATCAATATATCTATCTTAACAGACCTGTTGTAAGTAATAAAATACAAATAAATATAAAGACCGGGTTAAAGGAATTGTAGACAAGGCTGCACGTTAAGTTACCACAATATGTGAAATTGCAGATGATTTTAAACTCTACCGTTAAAACATTAAGGGTGAAAATCAAGTGGAGAAATCAGACTGTTGTATAGTCCGACGTGCTGTCGACTGTACAATGAGTGTTGCTTATTCGCGATTTTGTTATTCGCCGCAGCTAAAATTTCTTTATTCGCTGTTGCAGTTGGTAATGCAACAGCGAATAAAGTGTCGTCTGGCTACTTACTATTAATAGCCTGTCGTACTGGCCGCAATAACGGTGTTCCTGGTACCTTGACTCGCACGCACGCAATTCACCCGCAAAATTGAATACAGCTATCCATATAACCGGCGATAAAAATGGAAATTTGATCAACTTAGATTTAAATTTGGAAAATTCAATTAAAAGCGGGCTCAGCAATAGTTAGATGATATTTAAATAACATTAACCTACAAGTTTTTTTTTTTAGATTAATTTTACTTAAAAATTGCTCGATTGGTTTCAAAATGAAAAATAAAACATCAAGAATTAAAAGCAAAAAAGTTTTTATTTAAACGCTCTAAAATATGAAAATTAAATTTTATCTACTAACTTATAACCTCATTATTCACAACTGACATGATCATAAAAGCTTGTTGTGCGATTTACTTGTGTAAATAAATTAGTACCTGAATCGGTACTATTACGTAAAATATGCTAAATTTAATAGTTTAATATTGCTAGGTAATCTAATATTGACCTCGCGACAAGCTTTTAAATAGATCGATATGAAAACCCAGATCATTCACACAGTCGCTGAACGGGATCGGAGATCCGCATGAAGATGAATTCTGTCAATCCTGCCCAACATTCCGCGACTACCTATAAGTATGGCTTGGTATTTAGCCGGAGGCTTTTATTATGACGCTTTTAAAACCCTGATATTGTTGCCTAAAAGCTATCCCAGGACACTACTCGTTACTACTCGTACATCGTGTTTCCGCTTCCATTACCTTACTCATTAAGTATCATTGTCAGGGTTCCATATATTCAGAATTAATTAATTAATACTGGAAACCGAGCGTCAATCGTCAAAATAAAATATGTACCGGAAAGTTACGTTATGCGGCAAAACCAAGGACACCCTGGAAGGACAGAACGAGTGGCAACTGTAACCTATTACGAAGGACGAAATATTTGCTGCATTAAAAAATACTATGCGCTGTGATTTGTATTTTTACGTAAACACCAAATTATCCAAATGAACCCAACAAGACCTTATAATACAACTGAAGCGAAAGGATATCCTGCAATTGTACATGTCCATAATGATGAAATAGTGCACGAGTAGATGCTCTTCCTGTAGCACACTCAACTCTACAACTGCAATGAAAATACCGGCTTATAGAAAATACTTATTGCAGAAGGCAAAAATATAATTTGTGTTTTAGGAAAATAAAAAGGCTTTTAAACATTATTGTTCGGACAAATAAAAATTCTTACATTACTCTAATTGAATATTTTTAATGTTACAAATAATCCATCACAGTTGTAATTGTAAAGGTTTTTAATTAATGATTTAATTACCTGTGAGTAATAAACCGTAACTTATAGAAAAATCCCAAATAGCATTCAAACACCAAAGGCCTCTAAGTATACATAAAAATGTATATGACTGCAAATGCAGCATATATACAATAAGTAGGTGTAAATGACCGCAAATGCAGCATATATACAATTAAACATATATATGTATCATGTTCTTTACTATGAACCAGAATGCATAGATAAATAATTTGAAAAACAGGAGAACATTTTTTGATGCAGCTTTAACAAAAATTAGTGCACCGTAAATTATGACTATGAAAACAGTTTTAGCACAATATTGGTCTTCTTTCTTGTTCCTTCAATATCTTTGTTTGTGTTGAATTTTCTGATGTCATGTAATGTTCACATTAAAAAACCTGTCTGTTGAGTTATAATTTAATGAATAATCACATATTATTCATAACATAATATCAACAGTTGTTGTGTTATTATAAGTTAAAGCCGTTAATAAAGATGATTTTTTAATATAAGTTCTTTGAGTTCTTATTGAAATTTAGTTTTCCAAAGAATTCAAAGAAATGTATGAACCTATAAAATACTAATTACTCACCCAAACGGGATCAGGATAATCACAAATTTCAGATATTTGCTTTTTGATAGTTTCCTTATCTTTTTCAAATGATCTTTCCAAAAATACGAACTCTGAAAATTTCCACATCCATCCAATGGGTGGTAGATATTGTATTGATTTTTTTGCATATGCCTTACAATTCTGAAATCAAATTATACATTCAATATTGCATAAATGGTTACCCAAAGAACAAAAGCATAACTTTGTATTTGGGAAACCTTATCTGCTAGACATCAAATATTTCGTAGTTTTATTACATAGCTAACCAAAATATACCAGGACCAGGGCAGGGTCTGTAATTATCAAGATAATTATTTTTTTGGATAATCGTCCATAGTTGCAAGCAACAATTCTAAATATACAGAAAGACATTTACAACTTAATAAACTTTTATATTTATTGTTTTAAATTACCTACAAAAACTAGACAAAAATTATCTGTGAAATTATTTTTATTTTTTTAATCCATCTTTAGCAATTGTTTTCTATCAAAAAGCCATATTTGATAGTTGTTTAAAGATGATTCCTCTTTAATAATAAATCCTAGTATATAAAGAGTTTGTATAGTGTTTTATAATTATCAAGATTATTAACACTCTGAACCTTGGACAAGGATATCAGGCACCTGCTACTGAAGTATTAGTGTGTCTCCTATACAATAATAACTCCTTTACAACTCTGCTTCAAAATATGACATAGACAAACATTTGTTCCATATCTGCTTGCTTGCTCCGTGTTAACTAGTGGTTAATAAAACTCAAACGCTAACATGTAAATGGGTAAGCAAGTGGTTATGAAGTTATAAGGAACAAATGTTTTGTCAACAAAGCACAAATGTGATGAAATTAATATAATAATAAAAATATAGTGCATGGTCACTATATTACTCTTATGTGTAGAGTTAGCTTAATGATTTTAGCATTTTCAAACTTATTGCAAAAGGCTGTGGGTTTGATTTCAAACTCAGAGTACCAGAGACAAAGTGGACTTTTTAAGTATTTTTCATTAAGAACTATTGAATATTTTACTTAAAGATCAATTTGAAAGTTTAAGACTGTATGATAACTTACCCCGAGAACTTGGATTCCATCACAAAATTGCCAACCCATCAGCCAGTCTATTTCGTAACTGTGGTTCATAATAAGATAACCATGTTCTTTCCCATAAAACTTCTCATATTCATCCTTCTTTATATAAACAGACATTGTGGTGCCAGACCACCATTCTGCCATAAATACTAGTTCTAAAAATAAGTTATAATAATCACATTAAAATCACATCTAATATGCTTATTATCTGCTCTGGGATTATCGTAAGTTAAGTCATCATCAATAATATTTTTACTCATTTTGTAATATATCTTTTGACCAGTGCAAAATATTCAATTCAATGCAATTTATTTTACATATCGCAGGAATATAATGTCATGATGTAAACAGCACAAGTAATTGAAAAACTAATTTGAGTAGTATAAGACACATAATTATAATAGAAATGCAGCAAATGTGACTATATGGGATGTACAAGGTCACCTGCTGTCTATCACAGTGTATCACAAGTGCTTTAAATTAAATTAATGATAATGCTAGCAATACATAATATAATAGCACTAGACTAAATTTAGTTTTAGTCTTCTCAAACTGCATTTTCAGCATGTTAAAAACTTCAATATGAAACATTCATTTATTATGTTGTGCAATATAAGTGGATATATATTTGTCGAATACAAGTGACTAAATGATAATGTTAAAACCGACCCAAATATTAATAGTATAAAGAGTGGCACAACACAATTGACACCAATAAATATTAATGTTAATAAATTCCATAAACACACTTTGTTTACTTACGACTGTAAAATGAATATGCAAGATAATAATTAATTTTCCTGTATAATGTTTTATTAAATGGTTTGAGTCCAAAGTACAATACTGCTTGTATCAAACTTAAAATCAAGCCTGATGTAAAATAAGAAATTGCAAAACACAGGTGGACTATAGTCGATTGCTTGAAAATCTTTAGACTAATCATTTTGTTTTTGTCAGCTTGTTTTGTTGATCATGAAACCTAAAACAAATGGAAATATTTTATAACCTAATCCACATAGGTCTACAATGATATATTACACGAACGTATTTAGTACAATACATTTTAACTTACTGCAACAAAAAGCAATCAGCTTCAACTCTGAATGTAACTGTATCCTTGTAACGTAAGAGTACAATTATTATTTGTACAAAAACATATAGATCCACAGGTGATTTATCTTAGGTAAAATAATCACCGATTAAATGGTAATAAGCGTACTATATAGCTAGCTATTGTAAAATGTAATAATTTTATCTAATCTTCCATTTCCACGACATCAATACAAAAAATACACTGCTGAATTGACGGAATTGATTGACGCTTCACTTCAGTTCCTATATTTTTTTATCTATGGTTCCTATCATAGACTAATATTGGGTTCCTATATGTCTGTGGTTCCTATCCTATTTCAGTGTTGTTTTGACATCACTTCCCATGTCTTTAAAGCATCGCTAAAGGCGAAACTTAGAATTTCATACTAACAATAAAAGAGATGCACAATGCTGACGTGTTGCCGTCGAGCACAAATGTTATTTTGACATTTGCAGCCTATGCATTAGATAATAATTTGCAACAACAAATAGTCTTTACAATCTTTCATAATTTTATAATTTAAGTAGGTTACTTCAAACTGGAAACTATTTTGTTACTCACGAATACTCTTTTACTGAAAAAGAAAATATCACATAACAATGAGAAAATATTTAAAAAAAAATGATTTCCCGAAATCAAACTAGATGTCGCTAAGTGTGAAAAATCATTTCTATTTTTCTGTTAATATTTTATTTTTGATTATAGAGACAAGCTACCCGTCAAATTTATTATTAGTTATTTTTTGAACCAAGAAGAAGAATAACTGAATAAAAAATACCCTAATCCCAGTAATGAGGAATGTGCCGAAGGGACGCAGTTTATAGATTAGACGACCTCCGTAGCCGAGTGGTTCGCACGCCGGTTTCAAGGTGTCGCCATCTCTGAGGTCCCGGGTTCGATCCCCGGTCGGGTCAATGTAGAAAATGAACTTTTCTATATTGTGTCGGGTCTGGGTGTTGTGTTATTTTCGTTGTTCTCAGATACTCCATAATACGGGGGCTTTGACCACTCATCTTGGAATCTGAACAATGTATGTGATATTGTGTAATATTTATTATTATATTTATAGCACCAACCTCGTTGTACCAGGCCAGCAACTTGTATTGTGCCTTTTTACAGGAACGGGCGTCACCCTGTAAGTGACCTTAGATTCGTCCCAAATCGTGGGAACCAAATGAAAGATACCATTAAAAAACAAACCCCAAAAAAAACATTAACACAGCAGCTCACTAAGTGATGTAAATACTCACCGACAGAATATAGAACCACTGACCAATTCAGAGAAACATATAGTTGATCTAATTAATTCATTAGAACATCGACAAGATGACCAGGAACAACAACCACCTCTAGTTAGTGAAATAATCAACTGTCGATATGAGCCGGATAAAAAACCGACCTCAAAATTTTTTGTTAAATTAGAACCCAGCAATAACAATAAATTGGTCAAAGATATTAAATATATTTACCACCAACATGTAAAAATTAAGGACCCACGCAAAAGTAAAACAATGATCCAATTTTAACGTTGCCAGCAGTATGGTCATAGCAAGAATAATTGCATGAGACCTTATAGATGTGTAAAATGCGGAGAGAATCACAAAACTTCTGACTGCCCCAAGAAAGACAGAAACACTTCAGGTAAATGCGCCGTCTGCTCCTGTGATCATCACGCAAATATTGTCAGGTATATAAGGAGATTCTCAGCTGTAAAACCAAACCTAAAAAGACCCCGATGAATGCTTATGTAGTCAGAAATATACCTCATACTGAGCAAACAAAATACAACAGTAACAATTCAAATCCTTCCACAACTTTGTTAAGATCTACAAACCAACAAACCGACGCTGAAGTTACCTCAGGTCGACCCAGAAAACTGTCTAGCAACAATCAGGAACAAAAAAATGGCTGTACAGATCAATTTAAGATTTTTGAATATCTCTTAACAAAACAGAATGACAAAATTGAGCTTCTCCTTCAACAAATCAGTACCCTAGTGGGCCTACTGACTACAGTGATAACCAAGCTATCACCGTAAAAGAGCTCACGTTGAGGATTGCAACGTGGAATATTAATGGACTGTCACCTAACATTCATGAACTTGAGATTCTAATTCATACAAACAATCTCGATGTGGTTTTAATATCTGAAGCACATGCCACAGTGAGAAGTTCATTCCGTCTCAAAGGATTTATCATTTACTTCACTCCACATCTTGATGGTGGCGCTCATGCCCGATCCGCTATAATTCTAAAAGCGCATCTGAAGCACACACCATTGGAAACTTTTTCAACGACGCATCTTCAAGCCACTACAGTCCAACTTGAAACATGACGTGGTAACATCACGCTTTCTTCAATTTACTGTCCCCCAAGGCCTAAAATTACTGCTGACATGTTTGCGGCCTATTTCCAAACTTTGGGCCCCAGATTCATAGTCGGCGGAGACTGGAACGCAAAGCATTTTTGGGGCTCCCTTGTTGTGACTACAAGAGGGGGCGAACTCAAACGCTGCACAGACCTTAAAATATTTTCTACAGGAGAACCAACATATTGGCCTTGCGATCCTAGAAAATTCCCTGACCTCTTGGACTACTTTGTAAACCACGGTATAGCTAGCTCGCACACAAGTACAGATACTTGTTTGGACGGATCTTCAGATCACACAACGGCTATTCTAACGCTAAGTACAAATGTGATTTTTCGAGAGAAGCCAGAATTTCTTACCAACCACCAAACATATTGGGAAAGCTTTAAAAACTATCATGACGAAAACATGAATCTTAATATCGCTAAAAGACGCAGACGAGGTCAAAGAGGCATGTAAACCACCTCATTCAAGTGGCTTCCTGGGCTAATCGTCACAGAAAAATTTCAACTTGAAAAGTTCTGCTTGTTCACCTGACATAAAGTAACTGATCATGGAGAAAAGACGTCTCAGAAGAAACTGGCATTTATCTCGCATACCGTCTGACAAATCAATCATCAACAAACGAAACCATCACCGAAAACATTCACAGATTATCACCGACAGGCTACAGTCAGTGTTCGCTTTGGAAAGTTGCTTCAAACTTAGAGAGACCTCAACTTCCATGTCCTCCTACAACGACGACTATAGGGGCAAGAACAGACTTGGAAAAAGTTGAAACATTTGCAGATTACTTGTCTGCGTGTTGAGTGTTCAAACCCAATGAGCAGCTATCGGATGAAACAGAATAAGACGAAATCCTGAGTGTCTACTCAATGAAACTGCCAATCAAGCCAGTATAGCCGAGAGAGGTAGCACGAGAATTAAGTAACCTTGACGCTAAAAAGCTCCAGGGTTTGATCTTATAACGCCAACGATGCTTAAACATCTACCTAAAAAAGCTGTCACTCTCCTTACTTGTTTGTTTAAGAACATCCCACTTTCCATCACTCTGGAAGGTATCACAAGTGGTGATGTGAACATGAAGCGTAGTCATATAGGCCTATAAGTTTGACTCCTGTGCTCTCAAAACTATGGGAAAGAACATTATTTTTGCGACTTCTTCCGGTCATGAATGAATGTAGTGTTACTACAGTTCATCAGTTTGGCTTCAGAAAGGCACACTAAACGATTGAACAAGTCCACAGAATATATCACACCATACGACAAGGTTTCGAAAATAAGCTTTATTGCTCAGCGGCTTTTCTAGACGTACAGCACGCTTCTGATAGAGTTTGGCACAAGGGACTCTTGGCCAAAGTAAAGAATAACTTACCACACTCAATATTCTTTCTTATTAAATCATACGTAACAGGGCGTTCATATGGTCAAACAAGGCGATGCTAGATCAAGTCTTTAAAAAAAAACGAAAGTACTAAAAAAGCACCTTCAGCAGATAACGACTCTAGCAAAAGTTGATTTATGCAAGAAACAAATGGATCAAAGAGAGTGATTTCCGTTCCTATTAACTAACACATTAAAAAACTGAAATTTGAAAGTTCGAAACTTAGATATCAATACAAATACGAAAAAGTACAAATAGAATATGAGTTGTTTATTGAGTTTTGAAAACTAATTTACTTTTAAACATGATAGAAAACTGGAAAGGTTGTCATGGAGAAATCAAGAAAATACTGTAGTGACATCTAGTTTGATTTCGGGAACTAATGTCTTTTTTTAAAATACTTTCTCATTCAAAGAAACAATTCAACCAATGACGAGGCAGTACGATCTATGATCTTAGCCTGTTCCGAAAAGAAACAAAATATATAAAAATATATATATATATATATATATGCATCATATATATATATATTTGAATGTAAATAATTGAACGTCTTCGTTGAAATACCCATGTCGTCAATTAATATCAATATCAGTGATTATCTATTTCAAAAGTATGTATTACAACTTAAAAAGTAGATTCCTGTTGACTAACAGATTAAATCGTCTATTATCTTCATCAAGTAAACTTGTACTTGGTATCGAAACTTCTTGTGATGACACTGGATGTGCCGTTGTCAGTGACGAAGGAAGAGTCTTGGGAGAAGCTTTGTATTCACAAAATATTGTACATATACGGTACGGTGGTGTAAACCCTGTGATTGCATACGAACTACATCGAAAAAACATAGAAGCTGCTGCAAACGATGCTTTACGTAATGCTTGTGTAAAGATCAACGATATTGACGCAATAGCTGTTACTTCTAAGCCAGGCATGCTAATAAACCTACAAGTAGGAGTTAAATTTGCATCTTATTTATCAAAGAAGTATAGAAAACCTCTTATACCAATTCATCATATGGAAGCACATGCTTTAGTAGTGAGATTATTTCAAAATATAGAATTCCCTTTCCTAGTCCTATTGATTTCTGGAGGACATTGTCTTTTAGCTTTGGCAAATGATGTCGAAGATTTCTTATTACTTGGCAGTTGTCTTGATAATCCACCAGGTGAGGTAATGGATAAAGCTGCTAGGAGATTAAAGTTAAAAAACATACCTGAATATGCACAGTTACCTGGGGGAAGAGCAATTGAATTATCTGCCCAGAAGGCTAAGAATCTTGATGTATATAAATTTACGCTGCCATTATTGAGAAGTAGAGACTGTAATTTTAGTTTTAGTGGCTTAAAAGATGCATTCTTTAGAAAAATTATTAAAGCAGAAACAAAGCATCATACAATGGGTGATGAAATAATTCCTGAAATAAATGATCTTTGTGCATCATTTCAGCTTGCAATTGCTGAACATTTAATGCATCGAACTGAACGAGCATTGACATTCTGTGAAAAACAGAATTTGTTGCCTAAAAGTAATAAGAATATTGTAATATCCGGAGGAGTTGCATGTAATGACTTCATATTTAAATCAATTCAGATACTTGGTCAGAAGCTAGATTGTAATGTGTTTAGACCCCCTCCTAAATTGTGTACAGATAATGGAGTAATGATAGCTTGGAATGGCATAGAGAAACTAAAAAAAAATTGTCCATTACAAATAGGCTTTGATCTTAAAAATATCATGCCAGTAGCAGCCTTAGGTAAAAGTTTAATAAATGATGTCATAGAAACTAACATACACGTCAAAGTAACAAGATTAATGAAATTTATTAAGTAAGGAAAGTGATTCATAAATAAAATTGATATTATTAATGTGTATAATGGTAACAAAAGTCATAATGAAGCCCAAAGGTACATGTTGGGATCATCAATACTGACAACATTTGTTCTAGCATAATCTTGGGATCCAAGGTTCATGGAGATATTGGATGTCAAAGTGAAAACAAAAACTCCACCTCTCTTTAAAATGTTATTATGAAATATTTTTCCAAAGAAACATAATACAAAAAAACAATATTCTTTGAATAAAGCCTCAAAATCATAACGCACAATGTATGTTGCGCACAGCTGTACCACTGTGCATAGCACATACTTTGCAAAGTGCATAGCACATACTTTGCAAAGTGCATTTACTTACGAAAACTCGTAGGTAGTATTATCCTATGATCTCAGTTAAATTCATTAAAAAGTAAATTTTGTCATCCGATCACGATAATGTAACAAATTCAATACTAAATTGCATAAAGGTACTTTTTGCTTAATGAAGATTTCAAACTGAATGTTTTAAAGGTTTTTTTTGGTAGTTTATTCCGAAAAAGTCTAACCACTACAAAGAAAATTATTATAGCACCTAGACCCAATCCTCTATCTTTTATCAAAGTTTCAGTCCTGAAAGTCCCCCCGTTTTAGAGAATTAAGTGAATAAAATTGGTATGGTTTTCCTAGAAATACTAACATACAAGCACAGCCATAAAACTTTATTTAAAAAATAAAACGCCTCAAAACAAAGGCAAATGAATCTTTGTCTACTGCCTAGCCTTCGGTAGGGTACTTTGGGGTAATTACGAAAGCAGGGAAATTCCGATAATCATATTAAACAAAAAACCAATTTGTTTATTGTAATTAAAAGTTTTTTATCTTGTAAAAGCCTGTTAATAGTCAACTTTACCGACACAAAATGCCTGATTTGTTGTCGATTCGTCACTTTCAGGATGCTTGTTTTGGGTGTTACTCCAAAGCACTTTATTATAACTTAGCGTCCCTAGTGGGCAAATAATAAAAAAATATTGTGAAAATCGAATTAATAATTTGGTAACTATGTATGTGTGTCGACGAGCTTCCATTCGTTTAAAATATCTGTATATGAATACACTTTAAACATTTTTTAGATGTCTAAAATATCAATAGTTAATAGAAAATAAAAATAACTTAGGGATGGGGTTGCCATAGATTTGCTTAATTTTATTTAAGATTTTCTTAATGCAATTATGTGTTGCTACATAAATTATAAAATATCCACCAAATTATGTTAAAATCAGAAAATAAACATTTTTGCGGCGCCTAAAAAATAAAATAAAATGATAATGTGTAAGGTTTATTTACCCACTATCGATTAATATATACTTTACGCTTGGTTAGAGATAATTTGAATACCAAACTCCATACAAAAAAAAGTTCATTCAAAATTTTTGCCGGAAATTTTTTTATAAACTAATAATGACAATTTTAATGGCGGCAAAGGTCGATTTAGTTCAGTTGTGATGTGGTTTGTTTGTATGCATCACGCGACCGTATCGTTTGTACGACTGGAGTTCAATGACCTTGCGAATTGATGAAATTAATAGTAAAAACAGACTTCAGTTAAGTGTTATGTTTTACAACTGTTTCATCGATCATTTTATTGCTTTCATTGTTTGAATGTGGAATAGCTATCTAAGTAGGTAATCAAGAATTGCGATGCCTTTGCGAGCAGTATCGTTGCTCAAAATTTGTGTAGGTAGCATCTCTTTAAACAAATGTGTGTGAACTATGGACAGTGAAAAACTAGATTATGGCTAGATTTCATTTGTCCTGGCTCCCTTGTAGGTACCTAAGCACAACGAATTTCAGCTGAATGGCTGGAGTTCAATGACCTCTTACGATTTGATGAAATGAATAGAAAAAACCGACTTCAGTTTTGTTTTAGTACTGTTACATAAATTAATCATTTTATTAACGATTCTTTAAATCTATATGTAGGTTATCAGGAATTGCGATGCCTTTAATAGATACCCGCAAATATATTTATCCGGAGCATCGTGTTGCGACTTTTAATGTTATTTCAGACATGTTTCCACATTAAAATACTATTAAATACTCATATACTATGCTCCTCATACAGTGGCGTAGCTACCAAGGGGCTTGGCGGAGCAGTGCCACGGGGCCCTCAAGCTCAGGGGGCCCTCGAATCTTTACCAGAAAATCTCAATCGAACTCAACTTTTGAAAATTTCTCCCATTTTCAAAATATATATGACAGGTGACAACTCGAGTTTAATCATGGCAACTCAGTTGTGAGAAATTCCAAAATTATAAAAAGGGAATTCCCCTAAAGTATTTGTGTGGGTAGACCACGGAACATATGTTCCGTGGGGTAGACAGTGTTATTAATGTTTTCATCAATTTGTCGGATATCAATATCTGCATATAATTATTTATCGATATGTGTTTTTGTGATTCGCGATTGTGAACTTCGAGCCAAGATTTTTTTTTCGAGAATGGTTAAAAAGTTAATGTATCAGGAGTAAGTAAGCGTATGTCAATAATTTTTTTGTACTGGTCCATACAAAAGTTCAATTTTATTTGATTATAGTACGTATACATAGTTACGTAAAGAAATCTATAGATTTCAGCTACTCACTATATAACTCAAAATACCTTGAAAAATACAAGTCACATGCAGTAGAGGGCCGTCCATTAATTACGTTTTTATCCACTAATTATGTTTTTTTCTCATTTTTTAAACCGTCAAATGTGGTAACACAGGCTGCGATAAAATATTTGCTGGGGATTCTCCAACGACGTCTTGTATCGTATCATTACGTTGCGCTTTCCTTTTACTTGTAACGTTGTCAGTTAACAGTTCTTGAGTACAATCTTACATAAATATTGCATAAATAAATTAGAAAACTATTATGGACAAAAAAAAAGAAACCCAGTGGTGCATTTATTTACGCAAAAAACGCTAAGAAAGAGAAGAAAGTAAACAAAAATTGCCCAAAATTGACAAGTTTTTTAGTCAGCCTTCTGCAAGTACTTCTGGACAAAATATTTCCATTGATAATTTTTGTTAATAGTTTGCATGGCGATAGGCTAAATAACAGTAAGCTGGTGCAACGTATCTTTGAATTAATAAATATATAATAAACCCTTGAATCTTTTCTATTTCGTTTTATTGCCCAATACCTACACCAAGTATAACAATAATTGTAATTTATGTTGTTAGTGTTTAATAGTTTTATTACCTGCCCATGCACGAAAAAGAGCTGATGATAAAGTTGCTTAGCATTTTTAAAGTATTTTTATATTTAATGATTTTAATTGAAAAAACCTTACCAGTTTTGATAGCAGTGGGCCCCATTTTTCTATTTGCCCCAGGGCCTTAGGTTACCTAGCTACGCCACTGTCCTCATATCACTTGATGAACTCAATGTAAAAGCCAAGATAGTCTTCTTATCTATATATATATATATATATATATATATATATATATATATATATAAAATTTGTGTCACGATGTATGTTGCCAATAAACTCCAAAACTACTGAACCGATTTCTATCAAATTTCATATGTAGCCGTATTTTGGTCTAACTTACTGGATAGGATAGTTATCATCTCAATTCGCTTTTGTCGTGAATGTAAACAAATAAAATGTTCTAATTAATGTTTCTTAAGCAAGTGTTTATTTACTGTTTAGTTTTATGAAGTTCTCATAGATGGCGGTGTACGTTGATTCATAGATCAAATCCTTCAATATCGTTTGACATCTAGGTTGCAAATACACCCAATAGATGGCGCTGTGTTCTGTTTCTAATAAATTCCATTACTTTATTTCAAGTTATATTTATTTATGTTCACGACATAATGTGTTATTTTAATGGTTTGTGATTGTGACTGATATTTTTATAATTATACTGCGTATTATAATAAACAATATTAATTAATAATATTGTATATTACCCTGAATAGCAAAAAAAGTTTAGTACTATTTTTGTTAGAGAATTTTAATCAAAGTTTAAAGATCGCACCATCAAATTCTATCGAGTCGCCAAATTAGTGTTGAGATAGTTGTCCATTTCAATGAATTAAAAAAAAATGTAAACAATTTGTTAAAATCAATGTTATCTACCTCATTTATAAATTCGAGTTTTTAAATAATTTTTTAATCACTAAGGAATTGCCATGCCTTTAAGAGCTGTCTCGTTGGTCGATAACAATAATTAAAATAAATGACTTCAATTTTTTTCGCACTAATCTGTTGGCAAAGAGCTATGGTGGCAGCTCGGATGGTCCACAGGCATCGCAGTCATACTTGTCCGGAGCATCGTGTCGGAAAGTTTGTGTAGTACCGATTGAAACATGTTTCCACACTAAAATGCTATTTATCTACTCGACATACTATTCTCTCATATCACTACATGAACGAAATGTAAAAGCCAAGATACTGTTTATTACAAAAATAAGCACAAACGCCATTTACTTTGTTTACAAAACCTGCCTTAAAAAAAAATAAAGCAACAACATTATGAACTCACATGTTGTAAGTCTTGAAGAGAGTTAGCAACAACAAGAGGATGCCCGCAAGGTGGAGTACTTTCTCCGCTACTGTGGACTCTTGCGGTGGACCAGCTTCTCCATAAGATGGCTGAACTCCGCTTTGACACCCTGGGCTATGCCGATGACCTGGTGGTGATAGTGAGAGGAAACTGCCAAAGTATGCTATCGTACCTTATGCAGAGGGCGCTGAACACAATTAACTCATGGTGTAAAGACAATAATCTGTCGATTAATGCAGGCAAAACCGTGGTCGTCCCATTCACAAGGAAACGAAAACTGGATAAGCTTTCGCCTCCGACCATGAATGGGAGGCTCATTCCGTTCTCGACAGAGGTCAAGTATCTGGGGGTAACACTGGACCAGAAACTTACCTGGAACGCACATGTAGACGGAATTATACAGAAGTCTAAAACAGCTCTGATGATATGTTGTCGGCTAGCGGGAAATAGATGGGGCTTGAAACCCAATATAGCCCTCTGGCTCCACACAGCCATCATAAGGCCGATGGTGTCTTACGCCTCGGTGGTTTGGAGTAGAAAAACGACACAGAGTACTATCATATCAAGACTTAACAGTCTGCAAAGGACTGCTTGTCTTATAGTAACAGGAGCTATGTCTTCCACCCCGACCGCTGCCTTTGAGGCTCTGCTAAACCTGCCGCCCCTACATCTACACATTGAAATGGTGGCGAAGGCTGGTATGTACAGGATTACCAGCATGGAGGCGAAGATATGGCTGTCAGGTAATTTGAGGTACCTGAAGGACTCAATATGCAATATACCAATCCTGGGGATGCCTACTGACACCATGCCCCCGAGAGTCGATTCACACAAGTCATATCTTGTGGAGATACCCACCAGGGACGACTGGTCAAACAATCGTATAGTATGGAAAAATGGAAGCCTAAAGTGGTACACTGACGGCTCCAAATCCGGTCCTGAGGTAGGATGTGGAATTTATGGAGAAACCCCAAGGAAGGCTATAAGTCTGAACATGGGAAAGTACTCCTCAGTATTCCAAGTGGAGGTGTACGCCATTTTGGAATGTGCGGCAGCCAATCTGCAAAACAACTACCTCAATCATACTATCTACATCCACTCTGATAGTCAAGCTGCACCCTTATCACTAGCCTCCGACGTAACTAGATGGAAGCTGGTCGAGAACAGTTCAATGTCTGCAAACAGACATTGAATTCTTTGGGCAACAACAACAAAGTAGTTCTACGATGGGTTCCAGGTCACGCTGGACACGAGGGCAATGAACAGGCGGACAAACTGGCGAAGAAGGGTGCTAAAGACGCCCTTATCGGACCAGAACCTTTCTGTGGCATCCCTCAAAGCCTAACCCAGCTCACCTTGAAAACATACTGTCATTACGCAGCTATTCAACTATGGAGAAACACTCCCGGTATGAAACACTCTAAGACCCTGATTAAAACCTTCAACAAAAAGGCGACATCAGAGGCTTTAAACTTAACCAAAAATCACCTTCGCACACTAGTACGAGCACTCACAGGGCATTGTGGACTGAACAGACACATGTACAATATGGGGATCTGCGGCAGTAGAATGTGCAGAGGATGCAAGGAGGAAGAAGAAACACCTTTGCACATTTTGACCGATTGCCCGTCACTAATGCGAAAACGATGTAACTATCTGGGAAAGCACGTGATCCACCCAGACGATATTAAAGAACTTACGGCCAAGAAAATAATACAGTTCCTTGTAGAATGTAATCTTGACCGTGTACTGTAGTATGTGGAGATCACAATAGATCAGCAATAGTCGCAGTGATACTGGGCTGCATAAACCCAAGATAATCCGCAACTCGAAACAATACAATACAATACAAGTCTTGAAGACTAACTCTAAAACAATGATTTTCAGTGATTTATTACCTTACTTATTATTTCTAATTATTAAAAAAGTTATCATTTTGTATGCCCCAGACGAAATATAAAACAAGTGGTTCTTTTTTCATCTTGCATTGTACCAGATTTTGTACTTTATTTGGCAAGTAACTTATTACTTGTAAAACCTCATTAGGGGTCATCCATAAATTACGTCACACGATTTTCATGACTTTTTGCCCCTCCCCTGTCCTAGTCACAGCTGCTCACATTTGTAAGACTCCCCCTCCTAGTGTGATGTCACATATTTTGCAAGGTTTTCGTATAAAGTAATAGTTTAAAATTCGTGTTTTACCTAACACTTAGATTATATTTTGAAATGTGACGTCACCAAAATTTAGGACTCTACCACCCCTTGTCACACTTCGTGGACCCCTCACTCTCCCTTAACGTATGACGTAATTTATGGATGGCCCCTTACTTTTCGTGATTTTATAATAGCCCGAAAAGATTACTAGGTCGATTAGAACTTAATACAAAACACTTAATCTTAATTCATAGCAATAAAATTATCAACCGTGCGAAGTTGCGATTGCACTTAAAAGTACTACTACCACAATTAAAACACCTAAGAATTCCTGAAAATAAGTATTTGGGCGCGAATCAAGCTCTGCTATTGATAAATTCATGTTGAACCTTATTCTCTTATCGCGCTGGTCGATATTTTAATATGGCAGTTGCGGAAATCGAATCTTGTCTTTTAGTAGTCACACGCGCTTATTGGTCGACACGCAGCAACAAGAGGTGATCAAAGAAGCTGCCTGCGCCAGTGGCTCACAGGTCGATCTCATACGTATAAGGGTTCTTGCTCGTGCGTGCTCGCCAATTTCGCTATTTCTTTCAGCGATCAGTTGGAAATGCTTCCGAGGCTTTACGGCTTTATCGGGCTGAATACCCAAATGCAGATCACCCTCGCGATCCGAGAGTGATCACTTGAGCTATACAGCTTGACATCTTGTACCGTGCTCGCATGTCTCCATGTGGAAGGTTGCCAATTTGAACTACACTTGGTCCGTTTGGAAAGGCCTTTGGTTGATGTCAACGAACAATAGGTAAGAAGACAGTGTTATCAATTTATCATGTACTGTCGTTTATACATATTAGTTTGTGTGAGCGGCCCGCGCGCATGTAAGTTATGTTCACGATAAAATACTCAGTTTTGTCATTGCGTGCCGCAAATAATATTTTTTTAACGTCAAAAATTTTATATCGTTTCCCAGTTATAATTTTTTTTACGATACTTATTTTTGTGTATAGAATACCTACATAGTTATCGGCTTCGTTATGATTTTTGTTTCACCTTGTATATTTGATAAACAATAACGATAAATAACAGCCTTACTTTTATGTTATTATAGCGTCGATTGACATACTCTAGTTAAAAGCTTGGTAATATTGAATTATATGCACAAATTCCCATATAGTGTGTTAGATATGAGATAGGAACTGTTGTCTTTTCTGTTGATAGCTAAAGTTTTTAATAATTGCCCTAGTCAAACTTTATTATTTATATAATGAAATAAAGACTTAACAAGTTAAACTTATTTAATATACTAATGGGATGTTACAATAAATATGTATAGTAATCATGGCTGTTTCAATTATCATGTATACATTTTCCCTTTTACTTTGAAGCAGCTTGTTGCAGATCTGAAATTAGAAAAAAGTTATTAGAAGAGGTTTTGTGAATCTTCTCATGTATCATTATAAAACGATGCAGTTAGTAAAAATCCAGAAATCACAAATTTTATGAGTTGGTAGCAATAATAAAAAAAAAACATAATGCAGTTAATTCATTTCACAGTGTACAGTCAACAGCACCTCAAACTAAACAAAACTGTTTCTCCACTCTATTTTAAGCCTTAAAATATCTGGTAGAGGGTAAAGTCACTTGCAGAATTTGATATATCATGGTAACCTTATGTGTATACCATAATTCTGTTCTAATGTTAGTTTTTTAGATTTATTTTTAATCTAGCTAGTTTTTGGCACACAATCATTGCTAAAACTTGCATATACCTCACAAAAAATTTACCATTACTCCTTTTCATCTGAAAAACAAAATGGAGGTAGGTATAACATTATATGGATAGTGGATAAATAGTTAGTAGAGTGTCATTCATAATATCTAAAATTTTAAATTCAACACCATAAGATCAGTAGTTTAAATCTCAACACTTCAAAATGCGAACAGTTTACTATGTTGATTGCTTACAATATCAAAGTGTATAAATTTATTATGTATCGTATATTTATTATATGTATGTATATAGAATCTGTAGATTATGTACGCATATCGATATATATGTATTTGTTATAGATATTATATAAGTTTTTATGTATCCACTTGTTTGGCAAGAAATCTTTATTCTTAAATTTCATTGTGCACCTTGCCACCATTGGTTTCCCCACAGCACGCAACCTTAGACTGGGAGAGACTGCCTAAGGCATTAAGTCCGCCAATGTACTTTTTGTGCATGAAGAATTAAATAAATAAAATAAATATGAAATCTTAGATCAAAAATTAAAATATCAACAATACTAGTAGAAGCAGCATATTGTGTTGCGATATACAAAGTTATATTTTACTATAAATAATATATAAAGTTTTACTATAAATACACATTGTCTAAGCAGGAGATATGTATGTATCTGTCTATTACTGAATTTGTTTTTATTTCAATCATTTCTTTTTATTCATAACATTAAACATTTTTACATTATTAACATAATTAATTATTATTTGATTACTCAAACTCAAATTCTTTATTTCAACTCTCATTTTCATGATAAAAGGTAATGCTTATATTTAAATTTTTTTCGGAGTTTCCAATATACGATATAATGAAATGTGATGATTCCATTTGATTTCTTACTGCTTCGTCAATAGCAAGGCAAGTCCCATTCAACTTTAATTATTGATTGGAGTACATCGGACTTCATTGAACTTCATTGTGCTTCATTATACTTTATTTGACTTCATCAACCTTCATCCGATTAATAATTCATTGTATCTCACTGTACTTCAATTAATTTCAATTGCGCATATGTCAGGAATTTTCATACAAAATTCAATAACAACTAATAAATAGAAAATACATACTAATAACTTTGAATTTTACTTTATAATAGTATTAATTTATTGATATAGGTATGTATTATCATTATGTATTTACTAATCTAAACAAAAATAAATTTATGAAAATTGGTTCTGTAAAGGTAGCTAAGTATGTACCTACTAACTCCTTGTTTTAAAAATGTTAAGTAAAATTTGTATGTTTGTATTAATTACATTATGCAGGTTTTACTAGTATTGTTGGTATTTTGATCTAGTAAGTTGTTGACTTAATACACTATGATATAGTAAGCAGTCAACTTAGTAAGCTGTTGGTATTTTGTTGAGATTTTGAACTACTGATCTTATGGTGTTGATCATTTAATTTTTGATAATATGATTTTTGACTATGAATGACTCCCTATTTAGTGAATTTGACTTCTGTCCTGCAATTCTATAAAAATCAGAAACCAGAATTCACTTCCATCTAAAAGTGGCAGATGAAAATTGATGCTCAATTTTGAATTGGAAATAATGTTTCATGGCATTAGTGAAGTAAGTTTCAAAATGACATGGGAATAAGATATCTGGGACATGTATCAATCAATTTTATTATGTATTTTTATACAAAAAATTGAATCATAGATTTTTTTAACTTAATAATGTGAATTTGGATGCATAAGTTAATTCGAATTCGGGTTCGCATTTTACACAGAATCGCCCTGCAGAAGAGTAACTATTCAACAATCAATCATGAAAAAAACTGAACAGCAGTATACATATTGACAAGTTTTTAAGAATTGACACTGGTCAATTCAATTTAACTTTTTAAAATGGATAAGATATTAAATTTCTTTTTATATTACTGCCTAAACTGGAGACAGTTTAGATTGTCTTTAAAAGGTGCTCACTGCAGTACCATCCGAATATGTATCCAATCTATTCTTTTGAAAATTATATGGGTTAAGTTAAATAGATACTAATCTTTTTCAAAGAAATACTTGAAAACCATGATTGTTTGAATATTTGAAAGATGTTTATGGCAGTGGCTATCATCTTCAGGTCATCTTCAAAAACTCTTTCAAAATATTCAAGCTACTACTTTAAAAGAAATAATTATTTATTTACCTTTTAAGAAAGAATCGCTGGTATGCTTAAATTACGTCTAATGCTTTTTGATACTTACGTGCCGGTTTGCCGTTTGCCCAAGGAGTTATTCGAACGTGCGATTCATCACGTTTCAGAGCTTCTGTCCGCAATTCTGGCTTCAGGGCTCGTCGCAAGACCTTGGCAGCGATGTTGGAGTAGTTTATGTAACTATAATGTAAATTTATAACCTTTAGATTTGTTCATCAGAATGTTACATTCTGAACTAACTATACATACTTTAATCCAGCTTGCCTCCACGCAGTCATTTTTTAGAATTAAACGCGCTTAACTCGGCAAGTAGAAAATAATTCTAAATCCAAAATCAGGCTATGACGTCTGGTGATGTAATAAGCAGTGTTGCCAGATGCCTTGAACTATTATCTGTAGTAGGAACTGCTATAAATCTGTATACAATTTTAACTTAAAAAATCTTATGTTTAAATAAATGAAAACACATTTTCCGATCATAATCATCATTGCTTCGTTTAAAAAATAAGGGATAAGTACTAACTAAGGTTTGAATATAGTAAATTAAATAAAAATATAAACTAATTAATAAAATTGACGTTTTATTTAAGTAGTTTACTATATTATGTAGAAATATTTTTTAACGAACAACATACTAAATTAAGACTCAATAATTTGCAACAAACGTTCGTTTCTTGCAAATTTTTGAGTCACATAAACTACTTTGGAAATCACCCAAAAATTTTTCGCGTGCTGTCGAAATTACTTCACTCTCACAATCGTTGAATGAATGCGAAGTATTTAATTTCGTATTGCCAGAGATGTGACTTATCTTAGATACAAGTATTTGAAATACAGATACAAGATACAAAATACGTATTTTCATCTTGTATCTAAAATACTTTTTTTAGGAAGTATTTTGTATCTTGTATTTAAATACTTTTGTTTAGTATCTTAGTATCTTTTAAATACTTTTTCTGATAAAATACTTTATAAAAAGATTATTTCTTACATTTTATAAATATCACAAAACATTTTTGCCTAAAACATACATATTTACAAAAAGAAAGTGTTCAATTATCAACGCAATGAATATTTAGTTAAAAATAACTCGAATCCAAACATTGTTTGGTGTCATTTAACGCACACCCGTTATTGGTTTGCCCGTTATTGGTTTACGAAAAGGTTGCTGTTTGGTGGTCTAACGCGGATGTATTTCATCACAGCTTCTTACCAAACAGGACGAGCATTACTGCAGATTTACTGTGTGTATTATGAAGAACTGAACACAATGACGGAGAAGCTGGCACAACTCCAACCAGGTTTTGTCAATCGTTCGGTTCCACTGCTCCTGCACGACCACGTACGACCTCATACTACACAATTGGCGGTACCCAAGCTACAAGAGCTGGGGTTTGAAGTTCTCCGTCATCCGCCGTACTTAACAGACCATGCGCCTACAGACTTCTAATTCTTCCAGAATTTGGATAACGTCTTAGCGGGAAAAAAATAAATTCCCGAGAGGCAGTACAAAATGCCTTTGAAGTATTTGTTGCCTCCCGTCCAGCTGGTTTCTTCAAGAAGGCATCATTAAGCTACCAATGCGTTGGCAAAGATGTATTGATTGCATGGGTGATTACTTTGATTAATAGAAATAAGAAAATAAAGCTTCATTTATTTTATTAAAAACGGAAATTTCATAGATAAAGACTTAATTAATACTTCAAATCCGGTTGAGACCGGATTTATCCGATCAGATGGTAACTAATGGCGCATTACCAACAGTACCAGCAATACCAACTCTACGTCTTTTTAAGGTATATCTACGTATTATAAGCCTTTCCTACAAACCATCGTACTATAATCAACCACAGAAGCTAAATATTTTCTACAAAAAATTTTCAAATTAGCTTAACACACTAAAGGGGCATAATTTTCGGTAGTTCTGCAAAAAAAGTTAATATACATTCCGTTACATACTATCGCACATTCACCTCGTCACAACTCACGCCATTAATTTTAAAAACCATTAAATATTGTGATGATGTATTAAATATTTGCATTTTAACATGTTACATTGTGGTTGACAAACAAATAAAACGGAGGAAAAGTGGGTGAAATTTAGCTTGTATTTAGATTTGAGTACAAACACAGAAAACTAAATAAAAGCTTACAAAAGTTGTTTCTAATGAAAAATGCTTAAAAAATCCACTTTGTCCCTGGAACCATCTGGTCTAAGATTTAGGTTTTTGTGGTCTTTAATAAACAAACTTAAATTCAAATCTTTTTTTAGAAAAGTATTTGTATTTATAAAAAGTATTTATAAGATACCTATTTTGTATCTAGTATTTCAAATACTTTTCTCGAAAGTATTTCGTGTCTAGTATCTGAAATACTTAATTTAAAAGTATTTTATTTCTTGTATTCCAGATACTTTGTACAGGGTATTTTGTACATCTCTGCGTATTGCATATATTTTCTATAGGCCTATACCCAGCAGTGGGTGTCTTTCGGCTGACGATGATGATTTACTAAATAAATAAAACAAAATATAACTACGGATCATATTCTATTTAATTGTTCAAAGAACAATGGCGAACTCCCATATAGCTTTGGACCTGAATTTTTAAAGTCCCGTTCATGAATGAAATAAACGTGTACTTGAAGGTAAAAGCTAAACTAACAAAATCCTAATCGTCTTTTTCCTTTAAAAGTTGGGATTAAAAAGATATGGCATAAAATACTTTGTGGGGTTATATATTGCATCTTTGCTTTTTCGTTGAATGGACGTTAAAATAAATAAAAATGGTAACCAGTTTACTCCGTTTAATAAACTAGATTAAAATAATTACATATCTAACAAGATCCAGACACTTATAATAGAAGAAACATTTATAACATATGACTAAACTGTGTGGAGTAGATCCCTTTGCCTTTAATTAAATCATTACAACTGAAAGTGACAAATAAGGGCATTGCCCTTTGAACAACATTGAACTGTCATTGTTATAACCGAATCGATTGCCATTCGGAATCCAAAAGTAATGCAAATATCAACGTTAGTCGAAGAAACATGCTTAATTGTCAAGTTGAATATTAACATAAATATCAAACTCCACGAACGAACACACAACAAACAAACCAAACCAATCATCCGCTATCATTCCACCATCATCATCATAGAACATTCATAGATGAAAACAAGCATGTCCAAATAAAATCAACCAATCGATTATTTAGAACAAAATAATCGATACGTTAACCTTTCATCGGATCAACTGCAGAACTGGCAATAATCTTCTTAAATCGGTTGTGGTATCTTAGCTTTCTATTTTTTTATTTTTCAAGTATTCAATACGTAATTTGAACGAATAAAATAAATATTTATGAAAGTATTCAAAGACCGTATTTCATATAATATATTATATATAGATTTTATATTGAATATATATTTGACGTTCATTCGCTCAGTCGGTACACGTCATTACATCACATATCTCACTTATTATTAGTAGTAAATGGCGACAGATAATATTCTATAGAACATGTTTGAAAAACTCGCGATTAATTGAGAATCGCTTCTGACATCGTTGATGTATGTGATCGATTTTTCAAAAACCATCCAAACTACAACCCTTTGATATATTGTGTGGTTTTCAATTAAAGAGAACGGAATCTATTCTATACAATCTTATTTTGAATTTATATTCGATTATTAAGCGTATTAATGGTACTTTAAGGGCAATATAATTAATTGCAATGTACAGGAAACGATAATATCCATTAAAATAGATGACCCTTTTATTGCCCGGCGCAAAATTCATGAAACACTTCCAAGATATAGTTTTATTATTAAAGTAATTTTGCGTGGACCCTGAACGTTTCTTATTTTTTTAATGAACGTTTTAGATTTTCGCGTTTTGTTTTTGCACTATCATCAGACGTTTTGTTATCTTGATAATTATTAGCAGCATTTAATATTTTAGTTTGGTTCCCGACATTAAAATTAACCATTTTGTAGAAATAAAATCTATTAATCATATATTATTTATTTGTCCTATTGCCATCCATGTACGGTTTTGTAAATTATGGGGTCTGATTTCGCCATTCTTCTTTATCCATTTCGCTTTATGATTTGCTACCATCAAAAATTCCACGTCCAACAAATATAAAATGTATCTTGAGTATGGAGAATCCCAGCCCATTCAAAATTTTATCTAAATTCTTTGCAATCAATAATAGTCTTAATTTATAAATATATTTGTTTTCTATATACATTCTATTTGTATTATCTTTAACAATGTAATTAGATAGACGCGCTCAGAGCTATTTTTTTTTTATTATTTTATTTAAATTCAAAATTTTACATATTTTATTAATGATACTATACTTGTAAAGACCACAAACATGACATTGGCGGAATTGTGTAAATGCAAATAGGCCATGAATTAAAAAAGAAGAAGAAGAAGAAGACTTCATATGTCAAAAACATAACACGTCAATAGAGATTTATTATTTCTGACAGCAAAATTGCTGAATATTATGTGCCTTTGTATACACAAAATATTAGGAAGAATTTATCGTTCTGTTCTATGCTAATTGTAATACCAAGGCATAGGTCTTAATTTCATATCAGTACCTTGTGACGAAATTAATAAAAGTTTGTGATTTTAAATACATAAGTACGCATTTTTATTACTTGTGATGGGTTTAATAAATTTAATTCAAAATTCATTTCAGCAATGGATACTGCTAGTAAGCTTGGAGGGAATGCCAAAAAAGACCTTGGGGAAGATGCCTTGCTTCATAAATCTGATATGTCAGGTGTCAAATGTGATATAGTCAATGAATGCCAGATGTTCATTAGGGCTGAAGACGGTGGTGGAGATGCAAATGTGAGCATGACAAATGATAAGACCGAGAATAAAAATGGTAATCCATCTTCTAACTAGTAAGGAAGTTTCTATATGTAATAAACTAATTATTTAAAACAGCACATGAAACTATTTATCCATCTAAAAACTAAATTAACTATTACTTACATTTAGGTAAGCATACTCTCTTTTAGCTGTAATATGCAAAAATGTTTCACTTATTCCACCTAACTTAATTAATGGGCTCAAACAGTTTTACTTGCATACCTATGGTTTCTTGTGCCTGGTGGGTTCATTGTGATACATTACTGTAGTAAAGTGGCAGTGTGCTAATAAACTTATCATGCTGTTTAAGAGAAAGAACATAAAACTGAAGAGTATATAACATTGAATATAAAATTGAGAAGTTGTTTTCATTTTTTTTCGTAGGTATCTACTTATTCAAATTTTATTTTCAGAAAAACCAAAGTTTGTTACTTCAACTCCAGAGCAAAAAAGGGAAAGTACATCAGATAATCAAATAGCTGATTCTAACCCTGAATGTGATATTGAAGGTGAATAAATAAATAATGTTTTTTGTGATCATTTTGTATTGAAAATGTATTTCTGATTTTTTTTTTACTATTTAAAATATTTTGAAGGCATAGAAACTCATCAACTATTTTCAGTTATAACTGTTAAATATCAATTAGTTTAAGAATTTAAGAAATTAAACAATGAATTTTATTACTATCATACTTCCCATTCAAAGGTAAAACTAGTTAAGTGGTTTTAGGTAATAGAGATGATGAGATTGATGTGTTTTTAGTATGAAAAATCCAGAATTAGCTATTTTGTTAAGACTTGCAGAGTTTTGCTTAGTGGCATTAAAAGCATTTGGTATTTTTTTTATCAACATAGATTTTGTCTTTAACACCACAATAGTCTCAAATCCTCAATATTAGTTAAAGTAAAATTAAGAGAGTTTTACCTTTGAAATGAGAGTATATATAACCAATCAAGCTCAATTGGTTAGAGCAGTCACCCAATTTGTATAGGAGTTTTAGCTGCACCCTGGGCACTTGAGACTTAATTTTTTTAAATAGTGTTTGTCTTCCAGATTATATATCAATATAGAGTTGTGACAGAAAAATTGACTTTACAGTATTTTATGTTCTTTCTTTGTAGGAGTACCAGATCTACCTATGGATGATGGTCTTCCTAGCACGGTTACAATTCTCGACGCTCCTGATGGTGGGAAAGTTTACTTAGTTGGCACTGCCCATTTTAGCTTACAGTCACAGGAAGATGTATCTCGGGTAAAAATATTTTTATTAGCTATTGATTGGTTATTATATTGAGATACCTACTATAATTTTGTTTTACATCTATAGGTTATTCAAGAAGTAAATCCTCACATTGTCATGGTAGAGTTATGTGAACAGAGAACTAATATTTTATTGTTGGATGAAGAAATTATTTTACGAGAAGCAAAGAACATTAACATCAAAAAGATAAGGTATACAAGCTTTTGATAATTCTGAATTTATTTTATGTTAATATATTAGACAACATCATATATATTGCTCAGATTCCAACAGTGATGAAAGTCCCTTTGTTATGGAATAAAGTATCTGAGACAATGAAGGTTACCACTATTCTCAAACCTGAGACAAAATAAGAAAGTCCATTTTCTACATTGACCTGTCTGGAAATTGAATCCAGGACCTAAGAGATGGTGACACCTTGAAGCCAGCTTCCAAACAGCTATGCTATGGAACTCATCAACTTTTATGGTTCTGTGTATAGACAGTTACACTTCTATGTACAGGGTGTCACTGTATGTAGAGAGTTTAACTAACGAATAAAATTCCTTTTTTTTTATAGTGCTGGTGTCTAATCGTCCATCCAACTATTTTTGGCTATCTATACTAACATTATAAAGCTGAAAAGTTTGTTTGTTTGTTTGTTTGAACGTGCTAATCTCAGGAACTACTGGTTTGAATTGAAAAAATCTTTTTGTGTTGAATAGACCATTTATCGAGGAAGGCTTTAGGCTATATAACATCATGCTGCAACTATTAGTAGCGAAGAAATAATAGAAAACGCGGACGAAGTCGCTGGCGGCCACTAGTAACACATATTTTGTAATACACTTTTTTATTATACCTATAATTCAAAATATTATTTGTTTTGTCACAGGGCTACTATGGCTCAAAATGGGGTATTCAATGGCTTAATGTATATATTATTGCTCAATATGTCCGCACATATAACACGAGAGTTAGGAATGGCACCAGGAGGAGAGTTTAGGCGTGCAATGGCTGAGGTATTAATATTAAATGTTTACATTCTATATGACTTCTTATTTGGCATTGTTTATACATACATTTATATACTTACATATACATAAAAATCTTTACAGGCAAAGAAGATTCCAAACTGTATTGTTCATTTAGGTGACCGGGCCATTGACATTACCCTTCATCGAGCTATAGCATCATTGTCTTGGGGACAGACTATTAGATTCATTTGGCATCTACTAACATCAAATCAGACTATAAGGTACTCTTTAACTATGTAAAAATTCTATATAAGATTAATATATGTATATCATATTTCATAAATTTTGTGATATGTATCATTTTGTGATTTCTGATTCTGAATTTTGATTAATATCATATCAATTATATAATAAGACAATTAATATTTATCATATTGCACAGTGTAGAAGAAGTGGAAAAGTGTAAACAGAAGAAAATGCTAGAAGATATGCTGGAAGAAATGGCTGAAGAATTCCCAGCATTGAAACGTGTTTTTGTTGTCGAGAGGGACATGTATCTTTGTTACTCTCTGCAGGTAGCGGCGTTACAAACACGTGAGTTACTGTAATTTTTCTTCCCTATTTCTTCTGTGTACAGCCTGTGTACGACTAACAGTTGTTAATAATATTAGATTTGTAATATAATATTAGTTATATAATTTTTTATAATATAAATCTTTTCCCGAGGATAATTTGTATTCGAAAATAAATGCTATTGTATGCTTTGTAAGGTCCAGAGCCATGTCGGATAGTTGGTGTGGTGGGCATCGGTCACGTCGCTGGAATTGTGGAGCATTGGGGCAAGATTAAACAACAGGACATAGCTCCACTACTTAAGTAAGTAATAAAATATTCTATGTAATTCTTTTCCCAGATATCCTTCGTGATATTAATAACTGCCATTAACGAATACTTAATTCGCAATCTTTTGATTCTATATTAAATTAAAATTACATTGAATTACCATAGATAACATAAATTTCTTGATCATAAATAATCACAGATAAAACTCTTTATAAACTTAGTACAATATTAAACAATGCCGTTATATTCTTAATGAAAAATGCGTCCACAATCTACTTTGTTCCTGAATCCCTGAGATGGGTTTCGAACTCACGACCTTTCGCAATCCGGGCGACTGCTCTAACCACTGAGCTACCCAGGACCTAACAAGACTGATGAATTTTTCAAGCACTTGTTACTTTATCGAAACGATGAATTTTTTCGACGTTCGCTATAGGTGGTGGGTTTGAATCCCATCCCAGGGTATCGGGGATAAAATGATTTTTTTTAAACCCTTTTTAATTGAGAATATTTTTCAGTATAACATTGTCAATGCAAAATTGATCAAATATAACGACGTTATGTTCAGAATACCGCCGGCGTCATTGTCGACTCGCGTCATCCGTATATCGTTGCGTGTTGCGTGCGTGGGCGCGCTCGTATACGCTGGATACAAGTTATTGCCGCGACGTTGGCTGCCTTGATAACGTCGCCATTTATCCTCGCCGAGTTGCGGTATGTCATTTTAATTAAAGTCCAAAGATACATTTATAAATTACATTTGCTTAAATCTTTTGAAAAAATGTTTTACTAATAAGTTGGTCCTTTTATGTTTTTTTTCAAGCAATATTGTAGAGAAAAAAATATGTAGAAGATAAAGTGAAGTATATTACCAACATGAGTTGAACAAATGGTTAAAGAATGATCCATATTCATATTAGGTACTCACTTATGAAATTGGTATGGGAGAAACAAAAAGGCGGATATTTTTTAATATAATTATTTAATCAAAGTATAAACCATTGTTATCTATGCACATTTGCCATCTCACAGGTAGTTCATTAATCCCCTTACTAAAAAAAAACATTCGGACGCGAATCAATAAAATTTTTGAAGGCGATTTGCACTGCCTCATCGGAATTGAATTTTTTCCCTTGCAAGAAGTATCCAAATTTCGAAAAAATGGTAATCTGTTGGAGCAAGGTCCGGGGAGTACGGTGGATGTCTTAGACATTCCAATTGAAGCTCTTCTAATTTGGTAGCCGTCTGTTGTGCAGTGTGTGGTCTAGCGTTGTCGTGAAGTAGCAGTGGCGTAGAGCGATTGACCAGCCTCGATTGTTTAACAGCTAGTTATTCCAGCATGGTTTGCAATTGCTGACAATAGACGTCTGCCGTAATCGTCTGGTCAGATTTAAGAAAACTGCAATGAACAACACCGGCACTAGTCTACCAAACGCTTACAAGTAACTTTTTGGGGTCAATTTTCGCTTGAGGCAGAATTTGGCTGGCATGCCGAGGTCCAACCATTACGATGAGCGCTTCCGACAGGTAATGATTCGATTTAAAAAGCCTTCATTATTGTGCCGGTTAAATAATGTAACGCAGCATTCGAAGCGCGTTTGCCGGTTTGCTTCACTCAATTCATGAGGTACCCACCTTTCAATCTTTCCAATTTGCTTCAAATGAATTAAAACAGTTTTATCACTAACACCGCAGCCTGCAACTAACTCGGACGTGGTTTGCGGTGGACCCACTTTCACAATAGTCTTCAATTCTTTATTATTAACTTGGGTCTCCGGCCGTCCGCTTGTTCTGCAGGTCGAATTTTCCAGAACTATAACGTTGGAACCAAAAACGCACTGTGTTTTCTTTTGCGACACAACAGCCATACATATTATTAACCCTTCGAGCCGTTTCCGCAGCCAGGAGGAGAAATATGTGATACAAGTGGCCAGTACGACAAAACGCCAAGTTCATATGTAAAGACCTAATATTATTAGGAGGAAAGATATTATTGTTTGTATGTTTGTTTCTTTCCATCGATTAGGTTCCAAACTACATTTGATTTTAAAAATTCTTTCACCTACGGGGAGCTACATCCTATGCCGTGAACAAAGGCTATATTTTATCCCGAAAGACAACAATGAAAGGGATAAGGGGAGTGGAAATAGGGAATTAAAACGTTACCATAGTAACCATAGTTTTCTATTCAATTTGTCATTGTAAATATATTATATGTATGAAATATTATATTGAATAATAACAATACAAATGATTTCATATTATTCTCGATATTATTGTAGATTCTATTGATCTAGTCCTAGGTCGACCAGCAAAGCGTATTGTATGTAATGACACATTTTGTTTCAGGATCATTCCTGTTCTCATGATTTTGAAGACTAAAAACATCAGGGTTGTTTTACAAGGAATTATGAATTTTATGTAAATGTTTGTTGAACCATTTTACTGTAATACGATACTTTATAATATTAACTTTAATTATAATATAAACAATTTACACCCTAAGCTCTAATGCTCAACATATTGCAGTATTTATGTACACATCCACGGGTGTTTTAGAGGATACCATAATTGACTGATCTAAGTGTTTATTGGTTATCCCTTTTTGTTTTGTTTTGACTTCTAACTGTTACAAAACTTATTTATCTTACTCTATTGAATTTAACACTTTATAGAGATCACTCGTGTAATTAGACTATTAAAATTCCTAAGGACGACGATGATACTTTGTTAAAGGATGATAAATTGTCTTTAGAATAAACATAAAATAAGGAAGAAGTGGTTTATGATCTGCAAGCAATAGTTGAGCGTTATAACATACAATATAAATAATTGCCCGCAATTCTTTAATGGCGGGCTGGAGTTGTTAGATATAAAAGCACTATGTTATAATTACTTTATTTCCATCACTGCGTAGTTATTATTTTCAATGAAGCTTGGCCTTTTGCTTTCTGTATTACACATTTATTTTATGTCAAAGTAATTTTTTGTTATATTCATTTCTTTATTATATTTAACAATCATTTGTAATATAGAAAAGTAGTATACATCTTATCTATTTAAATCCAAGCTCGAAGGCTTCAAGAAACTGTTAAATCTTACCGCTTAACTTTCGCTAAGTGTCGCGGCTGCTTTAAGAGAGCAGAATGCTTAGAACGGCCATTGCGTATTTATTTACAATTGTCCTGTTAATTTATTAAGTACATTCTTTTATAATGATAATCACAAGACAGCCTTCATTATTTTAGTAAAATCGTATGTCGGATGTATCGAACTACTTGTTCGAGGTGTGTATTGCAAATCGGTCTTAATTATTTGTACCTCCTGTTTTTTTAGATAATTGGCAAATAATGCTATGTATGCAATATATAATGAACTTCTTTTATATACCGACTATAGATTTATTAATACAAATTGCTAATAAAATATAATTAGCTGATTTTTTTTGCCTCTTTCCTTTTCTTGTAAAACGATTTAGTTGCGTTTTGTTCAGAGATCCTCGAAATAGCTTTGAGATTAGTGAGCTAAAAACTTACCTACCATTAGAATAAATCCATTTTTTAGCTTTGGAATATAACTGCTACTTTCTTAACACACTGCTTACTTAGCTCGTGCTTGCAGTTCTATGGCATATGCAGTATAATTGATTATAAATGATATTGGATTCATTGTCTAAAAAATATACTTAGATTCAGTAAAGTCCAGCACTATGATGGGTTTTTAAAATGATGTATTAAAATTTTGGATTTTATGAAAGTTTTGACAGTTGTCGCGGTTGAACTCTGAGAATATTTAATTCGTTGTCTTTGACAGCACATTATACGTAACATTTTAATCCTATATTATGATAATTTAAATGTCACAAATATTGTTTGTTTATATTTGTAAAGCAAATGTTCCTTGTAGTGTGCTATTGAAAACATTCTTTATAAATAGTATGACAACCTATATCACCTGCTTAAGTGATTACTGAAAAGAGTCAGGGGTGTCTTAAGAAGCTTATGATAGTATATTCGCTTTTGTGTTTGTTTTGTAATACAATTATAATAGGGATGATGACTAATATATGTTTGTTTGTCCGTCAGGTAGAGTATTAAAAATATTAAACATGTATTTTTTTCGTAATCATAAAATTACGGCGTTACATTGAGTTGAAATTTCGCATGACGTTACGTTAGGGTACATTTCCTACTCAACTGTGACGTTGCGAGCCCCCTGTTGCGAGCAAATTAAATGCCTGTTATCTAAGCTATTTCTTGTTAAATTGAAGTAAAAAAAATACGTATCTAATATTTTTCTATTATCTGACTGACGGACTAAATAGAATTGCATTTTTTTACCCAGTCATCATCCCTATTGGTTGGTTTGAACGAATACTAAATACTATTTCTGTGGTATCCACTTCTTAAACTATTTCCTAGTTGATAGAAATTGGTAGTAAAATGATTGACGACTTTGAACGTATTGTTTAGTTGCAAAAAATAAAATAAATCACCTAATATATTTTGAACTTAAACCCCCAATACACTAAAGTTCAAAGTGAATTGCAAAAAATGGGATATTTTGATCTGCTGTTTGTTGTAATTAATTCTTGACTAATAGAAAGTATTGTGTTATCCTATAATTATAAATAAGTTTTTGCATATTTTGCTGGACATTATATAGTTAAAAATATCTTATTCTCACTCAATCTACCTACTCCCGAAATTAAGTTAGTATAGTGTAAGTCATCTTATATTTAACTGATTTTATATTGTTATATTCGACCTTTTTGTCTGAATTATTAAAATTTATTAATAATTCATAATATTTGGTAAAATTATTGTGAACCTATATATAACACGACCCCTCGCACTGAAGTCATAGTTCTCCTTTCAAAAAAGACTTATTTGCTAATATTAAGACTTAGTACAGGCGGCCTCGGAGTTTAGATTATAATACATATATTTTATGAACGGCATTCGTGTTCATATACTCGTAATATATCTTAAACGTATGAGTGATAATAAATTAATATTTAAATTGTCTGTGATTTTTATATATGAATATAATTTTTTTGCTTAAATATACCAAGTAGGGTCGCTGT